TATGAGCTAAATGCATAAGTCTGAGAGTTAAACCTCTTAAAACTTTCAGAATATAAAAATAATGAAACTGGAATAACTTCCTACATATGGCAGCCAAGTGAGCAAAATACAAAGAAAAAAAATGAAAATAAGATTTTATCCATAAAAAACATTTTCTGTTTAAAAGGACATAAGAAAATGAAAAGACAACCGGCAAATAGGAGAAAATACTAAAAATAGGTGTAGTTATATAGATTTCATACTGCTCCTATCAGAATTTATAGAATTTGGCAATTTCACCTCTAGGTATACACTTCAGAAATAGTGACACTAATGTCCACAGCAACATTTTAACAGCCACACACACAGCAGGGCACCCAGGAGTCCACCAACTGAATCCAGAGGGGAGATACTCATATAAAAGCTGTCTCTTCCTCTTTCTCTGTCACTCTACCTTCTACATGATGAATTTTAGTCATTGCTATTTAAAGAACTAATTTCCCTTAACTATTTCTCCTTTATACTCCTAACCACCTAAGCTCTACATTCTGTACAACATTTGTTCAATGATACTCGTCTGTTTTTTTAATGCCCCAGCTGGCTGTGCTAAAGCACATCTACTCCGTTATAGTCCGTTGTGGACCTGGGTAGGGTCCCCAGCTTTCTTAGGATGAGTCTTTCAACCAATTCTGACTTTGTGTGGCACAGTCTTACGTTATTAAATAGGGACACAATGAAAAGAACACGGAATTTGGAGTCTAATACTCCTTTTTGTACCTGCTAATTATCATTGGTTACTTGCTTTGGTGCAGAAAATGAACTGAGCTCAACTCTAGATTTAATATCTAAACTTAACGTATATACAATGTTGAAAACATTATTTAACCTCTCAAAACCTAATCGTATTTTCTTTTCTAAATTAAGTGTTACTTATACTTTACAATTGAGGTTTAAATATAGTAAAACATTCCTTTTGAAATGCATATGTATGTTCCCAATAAATATAATTTCCCTTGTTCTTATTTTCCTTAGACATGACTGGAACAATTTTATTTTAGGTTTGTGAAAAATGTAGTATTATAGAGAGGACATACCCAGGGCAGAGATGACCCTAAACTCTAAGGCACCGTAAATGTACGATTTATATCATGATGAACTCTGCATCTTATTACTCAAAATTATGCAGATTCTGAGAAACAATGTCATTTAAATAAAGAAAATTCTTCTGTCTTAGCTGGTAGCAGGATAGTTGCTACAAAATTACTTAACCATGACCATGGAAAAGTGAAGTAAGGTGATACCTTATTTTCATGAACAAAAATACTAAATTTCTTTTTAAAAAAAAATTTTTTAAAGATTTATTTTATTATTATTTTTATTGGAAAGGCAGATATACAGAGAGGAGGAGAGACAGAGAAGATCTTCCGTCTGATGATTCACTCCCCAAGTGACCACAACGGCCGGAGCTGAGCCAATCCAACGCCAGGAGTCAGGAGCTCTACTAGGTCTCCCACGTGGGTGCAGAGTCCCAAGGCCTTGGGCTGTCCTTGACTGCTTTTCCAGTCCACAGGCAGGGAGCTGGATGGGAAGTGGGGTTGCCAGGATTAGAACCGGCACCCATATGGGATCCCAGTGCATTCAAGGTGAGGACTTTAGGCAGTAGGCCACCGCACTGAGCCCCTAAATAGTAAATTTCAACAGTAAAGGAAGGGGGGTCATATTTGTCGGTTGTTATGGAAACAGTGGGGAGCAGGGTGAGGGGCAGGTGTGTAGAGAAATCAGACAATGACGGCACACTGCACTTCTGAGAAGTACGCTGGTCTGCCTAGCTTTCCCAGTTGGAACGGCCAGTCTCCTTGGCGGAGCAAACTACGTCCCGACCACAGGGCCTCTAGTACCATGCCTTATTTACACACAGCAAGCGCTCTGTCAGTGTTGATGGACTTGGTCTCAACATACTGGTTTTTGGGGTTATCAAGGTCAAAAGATTATTATCTAGAAGTAACAGGTCAAATTAATAAAAATTGGCATTTTTCTGAATACTATCCTCACTCTCCATTTCAAAAATTACACTGCTACTATTATAAATAAATGAAGCAAGCGTAATTTGGATGACTCGAAATAATACTACAAGTGCAAAGAATCAAGTTGCAGATAATTTTTATACCACTGGTCCACATAAGAGCCAGGTCTGGGGGGAGGGCTAAGCTGGGCCGGGCTTTAGCAGTCACGAATGAGAGCTGGAATGAGTGTAGGCCGGTCAGGCAAGGCTGCAGTCCCCTCTGGTGAATGCCAGGGCTAGAGGTGGGCCATGTCAGGTGGGGCTGAGCACCCACCAGCATGCACAAGATCTAGGGCTGCAAGTTGGTGTGAAAGCAGAACCTGAGTAACTTCCAACAGGCTGTAGTTCCCACTGGTGAGCATGAGAGCCAAGGCTAGAGACAGCCCCGGCCAAGCTGGCCTACAGTTTCTGTTCGCATGTGAGCCAGGCTCTGGAAGTGGGTCCGGTGGGCCACTCCACAGCACTCACTGGCAGGTGTGACAGGCAGGATGGGGCGTAGGCTGGGCTGTAACACCCACTAGTTCATGTGAGGGCCGGGACTGGAGGCTGACCATGCTGGCCAGACTACAACCTCCTCTGGCAAATGCTGAGATGAAGCAGGCCATGCCAGACTGGGCTGCAGCACCCACCAGCATGCACAAGATCCATGGCTGTTGGTAGGAGAATTTTAGGGACTCCCTGCTAGGCCTCTGCTCCCACTGGTGAGCATGAGAACTGGGACTGGGGGAGCTAAAGTCCTTGCCTTGCACACGCTGAGTTCCCATATGGGTGCCGGTTCTAATCCTGCTGACCCTGCTTCCCATCCAACTCCCTGCTTGTGGCCTGGGAAAGCAGTCAAGGTCAGGCCAAAGCCTTGGGACCCTGCACCTGCATGGGAGACCGCAAAGAAGTTCCTGGCTCCTGACTTTGGATCGGATTGGCTCAGCTCTGGCTGTTGGGGTTGCTTGGGGAGTGAATCAAAGGATGGAAGACCTTCCTCTCTGTATATCCAATTTTCCAATTAAAAAAATAAAAATAAATCTTCAAAAAACAAACAAACAAAAAAAGAACTGGGACTGCGGGCAGGCCCGGCTGGGTAGGGCAGCAACATCTATCAGGCAACATGGGAACTGGTTCTGGGGCAGGGCAGGGCTAGGCCACGGTATTACATCCACTGGCACACACAGGAGCCAAAGGAGTGCCGCCAGCTAGGTTCCCCGCAGCATCTGCTGACAAGTACTGGGACCAGGTACAAGTCATGTCAGGCTGGACCTCAGCACGCTCAGGCAAGCCCAAGAACCTGGACTGGGAGCCTAATAGGAGACCTGTAGATGCTTTTCTGCTGGGCTACAGCTTACCCTGTAAGCCTGAGAGCCAAGGGGGCGGGTGGGGTAGGGTCAAACTGAGCAGGACTAGATTCCTGCACATGTTAGCAGACACAGGAACCTGAACTACAGGGGACCTTACAAGGGCTACTGGGGCTTGTTGCAACTAGGCTGCGGTTCCTGCCGGTGTGCTAAAGGCTAGGTTTGTGATGGGTTACGTTGGACTAGGCTGGAGACAGAACCAGCCAGGCAGCTGCATCCACTTGTCCGTGCGCTGGCTGGTGCAGGTGACAGCAGAACATGACCCGGCTCCAGCTGATGCACACAGAAGTCTGACGTCACCCAGACTTTTTAGGGAACTCCCCAGCTGGATTGCTGGACTCTCAGCCACAAGGAAAACTCACCAACTATGTGGTCTGACCTTGGAATGTATGTATCAGGACTGGGCCTCTTCAGTTGCTGATGCCTGTGCTATAGACGGCATGTCCAGACGCATACAGGGGACACTACAGGCAGCTCATCTGGGCCAGTGGAGAATACGGAGTGTCTCATCAGCGGATGGAAAGCAGCACAGGTTGGACAACTCCCCTGGCCAAGATTTGCAGCAAGCGTCTGGGTCTGTGGATGACTCGTTCAGTCTGAGGTAGACTTGTTCAGTCAGCAGACCTTAGAAAAGATTTTCTCAATGCTGGCACAATGACACGGATGACCTCTCAGAACTATCAGAACCACTGGTGCAGCACTGTGAGAACAGTCTTCCCCACACTGGGGTCTGTGCGGCACCATCAGAGGGCACTGTCCCCTAGCCCCGGTGCTGATGCAGTTCTACAGCAGGTCACAGGAGGGGGAGAAAGGAAACGTGCATCCCACCCACCTTCCTCCTGCCCCCAGTCGGAGACCCACACAGGTGTGCATCCTTCTCAACTAGGTAAACGATATTAAAGATAAAACGGAATTCAGTTAAAAAAAAAAAAAAGAGTTCTGTAGCTGATTTTGGTGGTGGAGTGGTGGTAGTTACACGAAGTCTCAGCAATGCAGGGATTAATTAATTATATTCAAACACAAACGATTTCAAATATAACTAGTGAAATCTAAAGATGGGTGAACTGGACCCGCCTGCATATTTCTTTGCAATTTCTTATAAGCACCTCAAAATACAATGCTAAAAAAACACGCTACTGGTTTTTCAAAATAAATGATGCCCACTCTGCTATCGGGTCTATGTAAACTGTGTTCTTCTCATTGCTAGAGGAACAATAACTCACTATAATTCCCCATGGAAAACGATGCGCAGTATACAGATGCAGAACCACCGAGGTCTGGTGCCTTTGGACCTAGCCACCAAGTTTCTGCAAATAAAGTACAGAACACGCACACAGAGACATCATCGCACCGTTACTAATTATAACTAATTATAACTGATTATAAGTCACTAAATACACCATCTAGGCGTATTTAATGCTGAAAACGGTACAACACAACAGACAGCAAACAGGAGACTAAAGCAAAATTCAGTATTAACTCATACCTACCTCAAACATGTACACAAAATAATGGAAAATTAAGATATTCAATTAATATGGCAGAATTTTGGTGTATTCCTCAAACCTTCTCATGTATTATATTATTACATAAAGAAATATGTATAACTTTACCTTATCCCAGAAATCAACCAAAGCTGTAAAGTCCCATTTCTTAGAATATGCCACGTTGTATTTCAGAATAGCATCCTATGGAAAAAGCAGAAACACCACCAACCTCACGATACAGCTCAATGAATTATCTGTGAACAGCCCCAATGGCATGAACTACTTCCAGTACATTTCTTTACGCAGGACAAGCTCCCTCCTACCATTAGATACTCCTTATCAGTAGCTGAGGACAAATTTATCATCCATTTAAGAAACATGAGATTAGAAAAGTCAAGTAATAGGGAAAAACACAATTACCCTCAGGCATATATGCCAAATGCAAGTGACATACTCCAACGGGCAAAATGGGATGTTGGGGATAAAAAATAAACTCAGATACCATACCAGTTTGCAATTCCTTCAAGGGTCACATCCAGATATACAATACATTCACAGTGTTAATAATATCACAGGGTATGACGGGGTGGGAGGGGGAAGGAGTTTAAAATCAATCATAGGATAAGAGGTAATAATGAAAAATAAAATTCAGAAATGCTGACCTTAAGCATTCCACTCTTACCTATTTTTACAAGCTACATATACATTTATCTTCTTTTAGCAATTCACACAAATTGCATAATTATCTGAAATGAAAAGTAAAGGCATTGCGCCATCTACTGGTGTACTTAAAGACTGACTTATTTCAGAGTTAATGAGAGTGAGAACTAAGGAGATTTTTCTTCTATCTGCTGGTTTATTCCCCCAAAGGCTGCAATGCTTAGGACCAGGCCAGGCCAAAACCAGGAAGTTCACCTGGGCCTCCCACACGGGTGCAGAGCCCAAGCACATGGGCCAGCTCCAGCTGCCTTTCCCAGGCCATTAGCAGAAAATTGATTCGTGTGAACTGGCATCCTTAGTGAGTGCATGGCAGGCATGGCTTTTCCTATTAACCACAAGGCTGCCCTTGGTATAACCCTGGTTTCCAGGGTTGGGTAAACACCAGACAACCAGCAGCTGTACAAAAACAAAACAAAACAAACTACTGATAACTACATTTTAGCCCATGCTTAATACCAATTTTTAATGCTTTATAACATGCATAATTCATAAATACATGGAATTAATAACCAACTGATTAATACCTATCCAAATTTTTTAAACTGCAGGCATGTACAGATCAAAAAAAAAAAACATTCTGTTAAAGCATTGCAACAATTCTCCAAACATCCTGAGGAAGGTTTAACAAATTCAGTATTTTGGAGCCAGCACAGTGGCACAGTAGACTAACCCTCCGCCTTGCAGTGCCAACATTACATATTCCTGTCCTAACTGCTGCACAACTGATCCAGCCCTCTCCTTACTGGGAAGGCAGTGGAGGATGGCTCAGGTCCTTGGGACTCTGCGCCCACACGGGAGACCCAGAAGAAGCTCCTGGCTGTGGATTGGCTCGGCTCTGGCCGCTGCGGCCACTCGGGGAGTGAACCAGCAGATAAAGAACTTCTCTCTGTATCTCTCCTTCTCTATCCATCTTTCAATCAATCAATAAATAAATAAACAAACAAGCAAATAAAGTATTTTACCAAAGAGCTTCCTGAAAAATACTGCACTGCACACCAACACCAAAACACCCAGGTTTAAAATAAATCCACAAGTATATTTATCTGAAATTAGCGGAAGTGCAACCCGTGCAACACTGGCACCCCATACAGGAGTGCAGGTTCAAGTCTCAGCTACTCCAGCCAGTCCCTCCTCCTGCCAAGAATGCACCCCAGCAGGGCATGGGAAAACGGCCCACGTGTTAGGTCCCCTGCCATTCCTGTGGGAGTTCCTGGCCCCTGACTTTGCCCTGATCTGCCCCTAATCATTACTGGGATTTTGCCTTTTAAAGAAATAAATCTGTAAAATAAAATAAGAGCATAATTTAAGAAAAAAAAAAAAAGCTTTTTCATTCTCTCACAAGCAATAAAATGTCGCAATAATTCAAAACTTCTGAGGCCAGTGTCTGGCATAGTGAGTCAAGCTGCCACCTGTAGTGTCGGCATTCCATGTGGGTACCAGTTTGAGTCCCAGCTGCTCCACTTCTGATACAGCTACCTGCTTACGGACTGGGGAAGCAGGGCAGGATGGCTCGAGTGCACCCACGTGGGAGATCCGGAAGAAGCCCCTGGCTCCTGACTTCAGACCTGCCGAGTTCTGGCCACTGCAGCCATTCGGGAAGTGAACAAGCGGATGAAAGGCTTTCCGCGTCTCCCTCTCTCTATGACTTTCAAGTTAAAAGAAAAACGGTATGCTTCTTTCAGCCTTGGTGACTTCTTTTTAGTTCATGAGTCACAATAAGCACAGAAAAATGTCCTCTGGGAAAACGATCACACACATTGTTTATAGAAATATCACTGTACAAATCAATTTTTGAGGCTACTGTTTCTTTTTGCTGTGATGTCTCTAATCCTTCAAGGTCTATAAATAGTAAAAAGAGGCCATTCTATTCAGAGGGATTTGATGTTTCCCCCTTTTACTCCCTCAGCATTCTTTTAGCAAAGGAAACAATTACCATCAGCAGAGAAAATCTCAATGGATTACTCTGCCCTGCACAATTTACCATAAGACAAACAAAGGAGGGAAATTCAGATGAAGGCAATGGTCCCTTTCCAGCTAATCCCGGGGCACTAAGGGACTGTTACAGAGGTGAGCAGACGCGGGAATTCAGAACACCATCAATTCTGTTGATGTTATGAAGAGGAAATAGGAAAATTCGGCCAAATAGCCCTTATGGAACGTAGCGCAGCATAATGCAGCGCTTCTCCGGGCAGTATCCTGGGGTAGCCTGCCTCTGCGTTTTGAGTTTAGATTTCAGTTTTTGCCAACAAAGGCCAAGTGACGACACAAATATTTCTGTGCAAGAAAGGGGAAACTGGTAACAAATTAAATGAATGTTCAACATGCTTGAAACTGAAAACCAAATCTGCTGAGACGGCTATTTATGTATACATGTACACATTTAATTAATATTAAAATAAGTAAATCCTGCTAGACCTTAAAATTTTTCTGTTGAAAAGGAGTCTGCTTGAAATAGTTCATTGCAAGATTGATAAATATTATCCCTGATGAATAATATTTTCAAAATATACTATGGATAACAAATCAATGCTTTTCATTTAAAGAAAAAACCAAGAATGTAATGAAATGTGCAGAAATCAGAGGAAAAACAATGATGCTATAAATAAATTATCTAAGCAAGAATGAGACCTATTTTCATAGAATATTCTGTCATTACATATATTTGCAGAAAAATGAAAAGCTTCCTTGGCCACAGCACTCTCCCCTCCCAAATATATAAATAAATTATGTTCACTGATAATCTAGATATAAGAAAACCATGTTTGCCATTACAGTTTTACATGAAATATTTAAAAATCAACAAATCACTCTCAAAATGCTATGAGTAATAAATTATCAGCATGAAAAAAATAGAATCTGTAATGTATGCTTTAATCATTAGGAAACTCAGATTCCTTTCGGCAAAAACTGCTGAAGGCGTAAATCTTTCCTTACTCTTTTAAAGGCATTTCAGAAACACACTCATTTAAATAAAAAATAAAAGAGAGGCTTGAACTGACAGAAATTGGATGGGGAGCCAAGGAAACACAGGTCTTATTTCTGGCTGTCCAAATGATTGCAGGTGGCTGCAGGCAACTCATTTGCAGCTCTCAATTTTTACACTGGAAACCAGGAACGTTCTCTTCTCTTCCCAGCTAAGAAATGTTCCCCGCGTCTCCTCTGGCATCTGCATGTGAGAGACAGGATGGTACAAGAACCCACCTTCAGGTTCTGAGGTCGTGAGAACTTGTTGAGAAGTGCAGTCTGAATGAGCTCCCATCGGCTCCCGGCTGTTCGCTCACCATTCTTTTGGGGAAATGAAAAACAGGTGAAGCAGTTAATTCTTTCGCATGCTAAAACTGCACGTCCATCAGGCGAGTACGACACCATCTTTCAGATCAGAAGGACATCAGTTTTGCTCTCACCTCGTCTTCTACAGGGTACAGGTTTTGTTCCGAACAAGGCATTTTAACATGCTTGTTATCCCATAAATCTTTATAATGTGTTGGAAACGGCTTAGGAACTTCTCCCGCTCGCAAAAGATCTACCTGAAATAAAGGAGAAACAGGGAAACTCTTAAGTACATGAAAACTAAGTAAACCCTCCGTGAACTCCCCACAGAGGCAGGCGCCAAAGCCAAGGCCACAGAATAAACACCAGCATACAGGCTGGGAAGCTCCAAGCTCCCTTTAATGTCCAGATCAGCACATCCTAAGCACCTGTCCTGCCTCAGGCCCTTCCAGCCCCATCATTCCTCGCTGAACTTCCCAACAGCTTCCTACCCCTTTCACTAACTCTGACTGCTTCCCAATGCATTCACTGCACACCCCTGCCCTCCCCCCCCAATAAAAACCTTAATCTCTGCTTTGGAGTAACATTACCTAAGCAGTCCCCGTCTTCAAATCCTATAACGCTTTCACTCTGATTCCACATATCATTCAGCTTTTTATATCCAAATACTATCTGTTCTAGATAAAACTTTGTCCTTAAACACAGAAAATTCACTTTCAGGCTTATATATAACTCACCCCCCCCCCAACCTTTTAAAATACCAGTCCTACCAATTACCACCTCCCTACACTCTTGATTAGGTTAATCCCCTACTCTCACCTTCACTTCTATGAAAACTTCAATCTTTCCAATCATTATCACACTAGCGCATGTATGCTTTCTATTCCCTCCCTTGGCGCTAAATCTCGAGAACAGGAACAGGGGCCAGGGTGTGGCACAGCTGCTAAGCGGCTAGGCTGCCACTTCGGACACCTGCAGTCCACACCGAAGCGCCCAGCCTCTCCACTTCAGCTCCTGCTTCCTGCTCAGAAAGTACCTGAGTGGAAGACCCAGCCGGAGTTCCAGGGTCCCGGCTTTGGCTTTGCCTACCCCTAGATACGGTGGGATTTGAAACTTAAAAATTTGGATTAACATTAAAAAAAAAATTGAAATTAACAGAAAAACTTGAAAAAAAAATTTTAAATAATCCAATAACTGCAGTTAGGATATTTGACAGAACTTGGAAAAGGTGTATACACAACCATGCATATAACTACTACAATATACAATATACAGTATATAAACGTCTAAGCAGGTCATTTAAACCATAAAAGTTCTGTGTTCCCTGCTCATATGCAAGAAATCCTAAGGTGCCTTGCTAGGCCTGAACTCTTCCACCCAATGTTTTCAAAGTCCAACCATGTAGTGCATATTGGCATCTCACTGTCATGAATCACAAACGCATAATCAAATCAATTATGATTTTAATTGTTCTATGCTATGGGTGAGAGGTTCTTAGTGTTACTAAGAACCTTTTCTATACAAATTTAATCACCTGGTAGGTTCAAGGAAGCCTTCCTGCAGGAAGTGGCCATTGCAGCAAACACTGAAGAATAAAAAGTTAACTAGGTAAAAGGGGGGAAAAAGGGGATAGTTTATGGACATGAAGAATGTCCGTGAGCTTTACAAACACGTATAGGAGCTACTTTTACAATCGTGTGCAAGTGACCAGTAAAACCCCAAGGGGGTATGTGGCACCCCCGCCAGGGCAACAGGAAAAGCAGGCTCTCAGAAAGTCTCAAGGAACTTCAACGAAGCTTACTGGCCACCCATGGGAGAAGACCAGCAAAGGAATGTAGTAAGACATGAAAGGAGAACAAAAAAACTAAGATTATAAGGTATTATGGAAGCTGAAGGATGAAAAAAATGCCGGGAAGAAAAGCTCTGATGTCTAACGTGGTCAGTCGTTATGATCTTATATCTCCATGTTGTGCCGCAAAAGATATTCCACGTCATCTGGGAAAGCATTTTTTTAGACCCAAAGGCCTTTGAGTTTTTAAAAAATTAGTTGTTATTGGGCCCGGCGTGGTGGTGCAAGTGGTTAAAGGTCCTCGCCTTGCACGCCGGGATCCCATATGGGCGCCGGTTCTAATCCCGGCAGCCCCGCTTCCCTTCCAGCTCCCTGCCTGTGGCCTGGGAAAGCAGTCGAGGACGGCCCAAAGCTTTGGGACCCTGCACCCGCGTGGGAGACCCAGAAGAGGCTCCTGGCTTCGGATCGGCATAGCATCGGCCGTTGCGCTCACTTGGGGAGTGAATCATCGGACGGAAGATCTTCCTCTCTGTCTCTCCTCTCTGTATATCCGCCTTTCCAATGAAAAAATAATAAAAATAAATCTTTAAAAAAAAAATTAGTTGTTATTAAAGTAATACTTCAATTGAAACTACTTAATGAATGATCAACCTTCCAAAATTGGATTATGGTAATGGTTACATCATTCAGTAAATGAAGTACATTGACTGGGGTATAAAAAATGAGTTAACATTATGAATATCAGAAAGAGTATTTTTTTAAAGAAGCACAAGAGATGGGAACATTACCGTTGAATGAATACACAACCTCCTGAATGAACTGAATGTTGCTGAAATGCACACTAGAAAATTTCAAACCACCCCCCCCCCACCTCTCTCCTTCTCCCACACACACAGCGAGTGGTCATCAAGCATTGTGGTTAAGATACCCACCTGCCCCACAGGAGTGCCTGGGGAGGTGGTGCTATGCCACGGCAGGTTAAGCCACTGTGTGGGACACCTGTGACCCCATCACGCTGCAGATGGGAGTCCTGGTTCCTGTGCTTGGGAGGCAGCAGATGAATGATGGCTCGAGTACCTGGCCCCCGCCACACACGTGGGAAACTCAGGTGGAGTCCCAAGGTCAAGGCCGTAGCCTGACTCAGCCCCAACTATCTTCAGGCACCAGGGGAATAAATGACAGGTGGGAAGCCCCTCTCTCTCTATTGCTCTTTCAAAACAATCACTATTTTTTTGTAAATGGAAAACAGTGCCTGAGCCTGATTCCTAGCTCTGGTTCTACAATCAAGCTGGTTCTGGATTTTTGCTAATGAGACCCCAAGAGGCAGCAGCGATGGCTTGTCACCGGGCTTCTGCGCCCCACAGGAGCAACCCGCACTGCCCTCTGCCTCCGGTTCCTGGCCGTGTTCCAGCACCGGCCACCAGGTGAACTTCGGCAATTCTCTGCCTCTCACTGCCCTGGGGGGTGGGGAGAAAGATGAGACTGACATCAGACACACAGAGATGCCAGTGAGGCAGTGACAACAGCAAACAGGCCAATCGAAGACTCTGTAAGTTGGCAAAAGAGAATTACTTAAGGACACCACACACACAACCTGGAGTTTCAGGGGGTGAAATAATGCCCAATTTCTTCTGGGAGCTCAAAAAATATGAGGCATCTTCAAACTTCAATTTTTCCTTTCATCACTAGCAAAAAGTAATATTTCTTACTGATTTGTTAGTTAAGAGCAAGCTGTTATTTATTTTACGTATGCAGCAAAGAGGTGAATTTCTACATCTCAATCTTCTCCCTATAGCAAACACAAGAACCCAGGACTTCCGGGCCTCTCTCTGCACAAGGAAGCGCTGGTACCCACCCGGACGGTTACTGTGTGGTTGGCAGACGGTCTCAAGGCAGGGAGCCGGAGCCCACACCAAGGCATCCTTCTCATTTCTTCTATAGGTGTTCCAAGCCACTTCTTATCTGGAGAGAGGTGAGGTGGAATGTATTTAGGGATCTTCCTCTCTGTTCTTTGGTGTTTGATTTCACATTGTTCTTTTCTAAGGTCAAGACAAATGTGTTCAGCCACAAGTTACTCACTGTTTCATTTCCCGGGCATACACAAGCACAAAACTTACCCAGGACATTATTGCTTAAAGTGCACCAATCCTCTCACTTCAATTGGTTTCATGCTTATAATCAAACATTAAAAAAAAAAAAAGCTTATGTTAAAACCAACAAATTATTTTCAGTAGTCTGTGGAAAGAATTTCTAAATATATATCGGTGGTCTTCTCAAAACAAAACAGAACTGAGTTCTGGTTCGCAGAATCTGCCACTTCTGTCTCCCCACAGCAGTGTTCAGCAAAGCACCTCCCATCACAAAAATGACCGAGTAGGCTTTAAGACTCCAGAGGAGAAAATAGCAAAAAATACAAGGGGTATGAAATGTGACAGAGATGCATGCAAGCCCCAGTGTTACCATCCACATTTGATTGATCTGTAATTGTAACCCAAATCGGTTTTCTCATATGTGATGAGAGTATAAAACCACCTGCCAACCTGCGGGTGCACGACGGAAAGTGAAACACACGACTGGTTAGAAAAGATGGTTCCAGCAAACAGCAGCCACTATCAAATGATTTTCATGTCCTAATAATTCCCCAAAATGCCAGAAACAAGTCCATGAAATTACAAATCTTATCTCCAGTTTTTATTTTACCTCTTTCTGATCTGTCTAGCGTTTGAACTTTGGTGGATAGATTTACATTCAGTATAAACAATTAGGAAGAATCGTGACTATTTCTTTGCTTCGCTGGAAACTCCATGTTTGCTATGAAAGCTGTTACACAGCAGGAGAGCTAGTTCTAGGGAAACCATTACCTTCGGTCCTCCGTTTTGGGCATTCTCATGAAGTGATCTGTGATCTTAGAATCCTTTTTCCCATGATGCTTGGAATTTCTGCATTCCACATTCAGGCTCGAGGTGTTTCCAACCTGCCTGGCGCTGAGGTCATTCAGCCCCATGCGGCTCTCTCCTCCTTCAAACTGGAAATGTAACTGAACTTCGCCTGCCTTAGCAGAGCCCCGCTTCCTAGACTCCGTGTCAGCGTGGCACCTGGACAGTTTATTGGCTGTTTGGGAGGAGTTAGCATCTTCTGACTCGTCAAAGCCCGGGCTGGTCTCTTCATCCGCGTCCGAGTCCTGACAGCTATTTTTGGAGTTGTCTACATCCATTGGTGACTCCGGCTCACTTTCCTTCTCACACGAAGGAGAATTTTCCAGGCTGCCTTCTCGTGCGCTTCGTTTGTTGTCATTCTTCAGTGTGGTACCAACATCTTCGGAGCCCGTGTCTGACAGCGGACTCTCCGGCAGCACGCTGCCATCCTCCTGCGGACAGCGAGCGCAGCCTTCCGCACAGTGGCAAGATGCGCTGCACTTCTGCTGCCTTCCGGCTTCTCTGGCCTGCTCGTGTGCAGTCCCCCGGGCGTTTGCAAGCTTCACGGGGGTCAAAAACTGCTGATGATCTTCTTGGTCCGTGTCGCTGGGACCATCAGTCTGGGGTGACTGGTCAGTGTTGGCGTTACTGAACTGCTCCGACGCCTCGGTGCCCGTGGGAGGCTCGCCTTCCGGAGGCGGCTCCCTGTGCCTCCCCTCGTGCTGCCACTTACACAGGGTCCCTGTCTGTTGCTGGTTCGGGTACTGCGTGCTTTTTCCAATGACTGGCTTCTCACGACTGAGCTGAGGCACGTTTCCTAATTTCTCTGAGTGCTCTTGGTAGAGGTTACCTTTTTCTACAGAGCTCATCATGGCTTCTATACTTGTATTGTTGTTTTCTTTCCTATGCAAGCTGTAAGAGAAAGGAGACAATCTGTGGTATGGGAGAAGCCATTCCCGTGACCACACCCCTGCAAGCCACGGCGATGGCGACCCTCCCTGTGGTTGCTGGAGCACACAGCAGCACACTGGCCCACCACTCTGTGTCTTTGCACAAGTCCCTGTGCTGCCCTTTCCCCAGCTGGACCCCTCCCGGTCACGACCCACACGGATTCTCTCAGCGACCACCACTGTTCCCTGCGCAGACCTTTCCTGCCGCACTTGTCACACTCAGCAGTAGCTGCACGCTCAGCGTCTGCCTCCAGCACCCCACTATCCGGTACACAAACACGGGCATGTTTCTCCTTCATCGCTGCATCTGAAGGATACAGGGGGGTCCCCGACACCCTGGCACACAGGAAATGCTAAAAACATCACCGACAAACTGAAAAGAATGAATGAACGTACATATAGAACGACAGGAGAGCAAAGCGGGAGAGCGAGAAAACACGAGGAGGTAAGATACAACGCCCTATGTAACAATTTTCCTGCTGGCATACCTCTCTGGTTCAGCTGTCTTGATTCCTTTGGTGTCCATCCAACTGGTAATAGGCTTCTGTTTTAAACCTGTAAAAAAAATATTTTCTTAATCAATGTGCATGAATCCATTCCTTCAAAGACACACACACACACACACACACACACACACACACACACACACACAGAGCATTGTTCTGTGACTAAACAAAAACCACTCCTTCTACCTTAGCAGTAAGAATTAAGATGGGTGGGGCCAGCACAGCAGCCTAGTGGCTAAAGTCCTCGCCTTGCATGTGTTAGGATACCACGTAGGCACTGGCTCTAATCACAGCACCCCATTTCCCTTCCAGCTCCCTGCTTGTGGCCTGGGAAGGCAGTTGAGGATGGCCCAAAGCCTTGGGACCCTGCACCTGTGTGGGAGACCCAAAAGAGACTCCAAGCTCCTGGCTTCGGATTGGCTCAGCTCTGGCCATTGCAACCACTTGGGGAGTAAATCAGCAGATGGAAGATCTTACACTCTATCTCTCCTCCTCTCTCTATATCTGACCTTCCAATAAAAATAAATGAATCTTAAAAAAATAAATAAATAAAAGGAATTGAGATGGGAACACAAATGCTAGTACTTACGGCACCTGGCAGAAAGTGACTGACCCTCAGAGGAGTTGCAGTCTTGCAGTGGCTAAGGGCCCAGGCTGCACCACAACAGCACCTGGATCCACAGCCCCGCTCTCCCATGGGCATCTCAGGTAGCCGAGCACACTTTCATATTGTACACGGGCATCACTTTGTGTCCAGGCCGCTCCATTTCTGATCCAGTTCCCTGCCTGCAACTTGGGAGGGGGATGGCCCAAAGCCTTGGGACCCTGAACCCACATGGGAGACCCGGAAGAAGCTCACGGCTTGGGATCGACTCAGATTCAGTCACTGTGGCCATTTGGGGAGTGAACCAGCAGCAGATGGCAGATCTTTCTCTCTTTATTTCTCTCTGTAAATCTGCCTTTCCAACAAAAATGAATAAAGTCTTTTTAAGCATTCAGCAGGCATTTAGCCTAAGGATGCCCATGCTGTAAATAGCAGAGTGCCCAGCTTGGGTTTCCAGCTTCCTGCCAGTGCAGACCCCGGGAGCAGCAGTGATGGCACAAGCATTTGGGCTGCTGCCAGCCACATGGGTGCCTACAGAATGCTTGGTGCTCAGCCTCAGGCCAAGGCCAGCCATAGTAGTTGGCGAGTGAGCCAATGGACGGGGGTGCTCTGATTAAACAATTCAACAAAAGCTGTGCAAGTTCATGGAACGGGACTCCAGACCTCAAGTGTAGGAGGCTCACAGCAAGAATAACCAAGTACCTGGAAGACAAGTCTAAGCACAAGGCAACAAGAGCCTCCTGGCAGAAACAGGTAACGAAGCTGCCAGTGCCCGATCCCCCAGCAAGAGATGACCCTAGAGCCAGCTGCCAAACCTGCGGAATCAGAATCCGCGCCTGAGCAGAGAGTGTCTCTAAACTTAACGTACTGGCTATGGATGAAATCTATCTAATACTTCAGAAAATACAATTTTAAACAGCCTCAACTGCTCTGTAAATTGCAGTAAATTGTGAAAAGACTTCACACACCTCACATCTCCTCAAGCTCCACATGAGCAAAACAAGTGCAGGCTTAAATTTTGAAAATCAACAGTTTATTGACGAGATAATATAATAACTAAAAATTCCAAATTTGAGATTTTATATCTAAATATTCAGGTGCAATATAATAGTGTTTTTAAACTAGTTTTTAATAACTAGGAAGCAATCATACGTAGTTCAAATTTCTTTTTTTAAACATTAGTGACTTTATCACTTCTGCAGCGAATCAGGCTTCAAAGAAAACAACAGCTCAGTCAGAGGGAGCAGGAGGACGAGCCATGCAGTTCTGAGGCTTTTCCCTACGGTTCCATCTGAAATCCTCCAAGATTCATAATCTTTCACATCATGGTGGTGTTCAAAAAGTTTCGGATTCCAAAGCATTTCAGAGTACACATTTTTGGATTAGGGATGCTCCACCAGTGAAGGCAATGCAAATATATTCCCAAATCTTCCAACCCCAAAGTGCGGAGAGTATCTGGTTTCCAGTATTTCAGACAATAGATGCCATTATCTGACAGTTCAGAAAGCTCCCCTACTCGCAGCCTAGCAATTAAACGCCCCTTCCTGAACCAGCACTCGTTCCGTGTCTGAGCGCAGTGGTCCACAAAACATAGCGCCGGCCATAACCGCGTGGCACCTACGGCCACCGCAGGTCACTTCACCACAGCCTCCGTGAGCCGCGTCCCAGTGAGGCTGAAGGGGAAGAGCGTCCTCTCCCGGGGCAGCCAGACACTGCAAACGTCCTTCTCTCTAGTATCGGACTTCAGATGCTGGTTCCTGAAGCCTAAGGGGTGAAGAGAGAAAAGGGAGACAGAAGGAATCCAAATTCCCCTTAATTACACGTTCTTCGGCCCTCTGGAGGGTCCCCCAAGGGAGCACTTTTTGTCTGTCCAATACCAGCAATTCTGGCTTCCACAGTTTTTTTTTTTAAAAAGATTTATTTTCACTGGAACGTCAGATACAAAGAGGAGGAGAGACAGAGAGGAAGCTCCTCCATCCAATGATTCACTCCCCATGCAGCCACAACGGCCGGAGCTGAGTCGATCCAAAGCCAGGAGCCAGGAGCTTCTTCTGGGTCTCCCATGCGGGTGCAGGGCCCCAAGGCTTTTTGGGCCGTCCTTGACTGCCTTCCCAGGCCATAAGCAGAGAACTAGCTATATAGGAAGCAGGGCTGCCAGGATTAGAACCAGCGCCTATTTGGGATCCCAGCGTATGCAAAGCAAGGCACTAGGCTACAGTGCTGGGCCCTTCCTGACGCCTTTTTCCCAGCACACCCAGAGGGCCGCCTGGGAGCTCTCCTCCCCCACACTCTGCAGTAAGCATAAAATGTCGCCTCTCAAGCTGCCTGGGAATTTCTTTAACTGGAAGTAATCACTGCAATCAGGTAGTGATAAATGATGGGGTCAAATAACGTGGGCAGAGATCCGTGACTCAGCCACTTACTAGCTGTTCAATTTCTTTGATTCTACATTCTCATCAAGGAAATAGGGAGCGTTAACAGGTACCTCCAGGGGTTATGTGGGGAAAAAAAAAAGTATTACCCAGCCTCACAAAGCAGATCCTCAACAAACAATACTCTCTCCCCACTCTGTGATCCACTGACATCGGCAGTTCTGCAGCTCTGCTGTGACTTCCGATTACTTACACCTGGTTCCCATCAGTAACCTGAGCATTTCAATGAGGTTATCCGGTTAGCAGGCACAGACACGGAAGTCAGTGACATTCTCCCAACCTCCTCCAATGGCCTCCCACAGCAACATCCTGGACCAAGCGCTCCCTGCCGGAAAACAAGCCGCATGCTGCGGTCTGCCTACAGGCACATGCGCACGTGTTAACCAACATAAGAAATGGGCACAGGAAGAAAAGACGATGCCAAATTATAAAATACTGAACGGGGTGGGCGTCTGACCAGGCAACGCAGACAGTCCACGGCCTGGGTTCCCACCTCTGACGATGTCAGCTTGCTGCTAACACAGAAGCAGCAGCTTCATGGGCCACACGTGAAGACCGGACTGCTGCTCTAGGTCCCTGGCTTCTACAGGCATTTGGGAAGTCAACCAACAGGTGAGAATTCTGCCTCCCTGCTTCTCTCTCTCTCGGACAAAAAAGGTATTTAATACCCACTGCCCAGCTCTCCTTCTCCCAGTGACTCCAAAATAATTTCCAAAAACATACTTATTAAGTAACAATTTTCCTGCCTCTTACTTCTCCCAAGATAAGGATATGCTGTATTTAAAATTTTAATTAGCAAGTTCCTAAAAAAAAAAAAAAACTACCAACTGTGGAATGGTTTTTAATACAAATTTAGATTTCAAACACTGGATGAAACCAGGTACATGGCAGACATTGCAGCAGGAACGGAATAGGACAATTCCAATCGGAATTTGGCTTTTCTGCCTGAAGGCCCCTTCTGCTCTGGCTCCTTGTGGGAAATCCACACCTGAAATCCATCCCTTAGACACATGACCTACTGAACAACTGTTTCCTCACCTGATATTCATTCACAGCCTTCACTTTATGAACTCCATTATTTATAAACTACAAACATTCATTTTTCTCAATGATATAACTCAACATAAGAATTTGTCATGTATAGCAAAGCAAGGTATTATTTCATGAAGCATGTTTCAGTTAGAAACACGGCATTTTTCAGGGGGTCCTTGTGACCCCGCCCCTGCGTGGTGGGTGCTGGATCCATGAGCCCCAGGGGCGAGGGGTCTGGTGAGGCCAGAGTCACAAGGCCCAGGTACTTGTGCCCACCTGCTCAGTGGGTGCATGGCCTGTGAACATCCGGGACAGGGGTGCTGTGGGGGCCCTAGTCATGCGGCCCAACTTAGGGCACGGCACCGGGGGAGACTCACTGGCCACCCAGGGACACGCTTGTGGAGATCCGATGCGTGGGCTTGCAGGGGTCTGGCACAGGTGGCCGCATGCAGGAGCCTGAGGTCTCCCATCCAGGATTGGTGGTCATGTGTCAGAGCTGGGCCTCCTCAGTGGAAAGGCCAGAGAAATGGACGGCTGGCCCAGAAGCTATGGCAGCCCACTGGGGGCCTGTACAGGACATCTGGTGCCATAGCAGAGGAAAGAAGGCAGAACAAACTGGACAACTACCCCCAGCCAAATGACAAGAGCAAATATCTGGGTGAATGGAGAGTCTAAGCTTGACTGTGTCAATCAATGGACATTTGAAGGGGTTCCTCACCCTCGGATCTGCAAGATCGACAGCATTTTAAAACCAGTGAAACCACCTGGGCAGAACCCTTGGAGCAGGCGCCACATCAGGGACCTTGGGCTGATGGGGGGGTGTGGCTGTTCCTCCTCACTGGGTCCTGGGGTGGCTGGGAGGCTGGGTGTGGCTTCTTCCCTCAGACACATGAAGACAGACCATTTGGAAACAATGATCCCACCCACTTCTTCCCGACCCTCCATCCTTCCCACCGTGACCATGTAAACATCACCTAAAATAACAATAAAAGTTTTTTTAAAACATGGCATATTTGCTGGTTGTACTCTCATACATGGTATCAAAAATTTTCTGCACCAAAACACACCTGTCTCTTAATTCCACTTTCCCACACACTCTGAAGTCCCCTGTACTTAGCTGGTGCGCCAAATAGAACTTACAATGCATATTACAGACACAGGTCCAAAAGTCAAAGACATCCTTTCTGAAAGAATTTTCCCACTAAGGAGTTTTTTGTTTGTTTTTTTAAAAAGCAGCTCTTCCATGAATCACAGAACAAAGCTCAGACCCCCTCCAGCAAGCCCTCTGGCTGGCCCAGAAACTGATCTGACATGTTATACCACGGAGCAATGCTTCCTTTCTGAATGTCCTCTGCTCTAGAGGACACGAGCCAAGCCACCCTGCGATGCTGGCATTCCTGCAGGTTCCTGTCATCACCTTGGCCGTCTTTCCACGCTGCCCGTGGAGGGTATCATGGTGCGTGTGTCACGAACTCCCCAATCTGCTTCTCCCGCACAGACATAAACCCTTAGGTGCCGACCCAAGGATCCCAGCGCACTCTGAACTCACGCACATCTCCCCATCCGTTCTGCCTGCGTCTGAGGCGGAGCACCTGGCTATCTCCTAACTGAACTCATTCCTTCCCAAGTCCTGCGTCTCTGGTTGTGTTCCCTTTCAACCCACCCTCCATTTCCCACGCCATCACACACAGGCACTATGAACTTTCTGATCGCGTCACTTCTCTACTGAAAACTCCCAACAGGTTGGGCATCCCCAGGCCCAACACTCAGACTCAAAAATGCTGCAAAGTCCAAAGCTCTCTGAACACCCAGCATGAAGCCGCAGGTGGGAAATTCCATATCTGACCCCAAGTGATGCCTTGCGGTCAAAACGCCGGCCTGGGTTGCCTTCCCCACTCCCTCCCTTCACCTGGCTCACTGCAATTCACTCCTTGGACCTCGGAACATTATTATTTTAAAATCCTCTCTACCACGTTAAGAAGCATCAGCTGTCATCTGTCAGAACATCCATCTCCCTTCTACTGTTCTGACCTGCACCCTTCTGTCCTGGCAGCTTTTTAAGGCAGGAAGGCAAAAGAGGCCACACACACACACACACACACACACACACACACACATCCTGGTTCCATCAACACAAACACACACACACACACACACACACACACACACACCCTGGTTCCATCAACACACACACACACACCCTGGTTCCATCAACACTGTGTCAGGGACAAGGCACCAACAGCTCCGTGGAGTCCAGAATGAGTCAAGCTGTTAACAGCCGCCTTCTTTTACAGCTAGACACTCAGGCGCACACCCAACTGGCACCCCTAAACTATTACAAAGTAATTACTCAAACGGAAGAAAGCAAACAGGTGGGCCGTCCAGTCCCGGGAAGAGAGATTGCATGGGAGTCTCCGATTGCATGGGAGGGTCCGCAGCCCCCGGGGTCCCGCACACAGGAGAACACGCACGCTGTTGTGGACGTCCCCCCTTCCACGTACCGAGCGAGGTGGCGCCGCCTCTGCGCGGTCCCGCCCGCCCCGGGACGCAGCCGGCCGAGGACGGTGGCCCCCCGACCCGCACGGGAGAGTCCTTGGGGTCCAGGACGCGCCTCTGCCTGCCGGGGAAGCTCCGGGCGTCCGAGGCAGCCGGCGGAGAACTTGCAGCCGTGTCCCAGCGGGGTCGTTTGGTGCAGGGCTCACAGCCGGGGCCCGCACTCATGCTGGGACCCGCAGCACACGGTCCCCGGGCCGGCCCAGGCTCGGGAGCCTCATTCAGGAACCGGGAGAGGGGCGGCCGGCGCCTGCCCGCACCATGCCCTGTCCGCCCGCCTGCCGGCCCTGCTCGTTCTCGAACACCCCACCTGGACGCGCCGCTCGCTCAATCGGCCTCTGCTCACTTTCCCACCACCGGAAAGCCGCCGTCGGGCGCCGCCGACTTCCGGAGCGCCACACTGCCGCAAAACGGAAGTGTGGCGCTTGGCAGGAGCCGGCGCCCGGAAGGTCAGCTTGGGAAGGAGGCCGTGGGGGTCGCGGCGCCGTCCTCTGTGTTCGCGAACACGAGGGGCTTCCGACCCGAGACCTCGGCGGGGAGCGGACGCCATGGAGGGCGGCGGAGGAAGCGGCAACAAGACCACGGGGGGCCTGGCCGGCTTTTTCGGAGCGGGCGGCGCGGGGTACTCGCACGCGGACCTGGCCGGCGTCCCGCGTGAGTTGTGGGGTCTGAGCGGCGCGTCGTGTCCAGCCCGGGGTTTTCTTTTTTTGGGGGGGGTGGAATGGGAGAGTCGGCGGCGGGCCGAGCGGGTGTGCGTGTGCCCTGGGACGGGGAAACGTCCACTTCCCCGGCCAGGCTGCCCGCCAAGGGACCCGAACCCGGACCCTGAGAGGACTCTTCATCCGTGGGTTTGCAGAGGGATCTGTCGGCTCTGCAAGTCCGCGTATGCAGGATTAGAAGCTCTGAAGTTAACTGCCTTCTCTCCGCTCTCTTCCCCTGCCTCCTCCAAGCCAGCCACACATAGCTGGTACCCCAAAGTAGCCAGGCAGGAACAAATGCATACGTAATGCATGTTAATGAAATAAGGAATTGGGGGGAGGCGGGAAACCATCTGGAGGCGCTGCGGAGGAAACCGAGACTTGCAACGGTGATTTTTTTTTTTTTAAGATTTATTTTATTTTAACGGAAAGTCAGGTATACAGAGAGGAAGATCTTCCATCCGTTGATTCACTCCTCAAGTGGCTGCAATGGCTGGAGCTGCGCTGATCCTAAGCCAGGAGCCAGGAGTCTTTTCCAGATCTCCCATGCGGGTGCAGGGTCCCAAGGCTTTGGGCCGTTCTTGACTGCTTTCCCGGACTACAGGCAGGGAGCTGGATGGGAGCAGGGCTGCCGGGAGTAGAACCAGTGCCCATATGGCATCCCAGCGTGTGCAAGGTGAGGACTTTAGCCACTGGGCTACTGTGCCAGCCCCAACGGTGGTTTTTAATAAGCCAGGAGAGGATTCTATGACAGGGGACAAGGTCAGGTCCAGAAGGTGGAGAACAGCCTGAAAGCCAAGAACTACTTATAACAACTGGATGGGTGAAACTTGAAAGAAAAGCTTTTACAAAAAAAGCAGCCTTCTTCCTCAGAGTCCCTCTGCTGCTTTCATAGGTCCCTTACGATCAGGGACAACAAAAATGACCTTGTGCTGTCCCCTAGGGTGCACCTGAAGCTATCTAGAAGGGTTTATTCAGAAAAGTTGGTCTCTCCCGTAGCAGAGTCTCCTTACATGTATGGCTTGGAAAGTGAATGGAGGCAGGACTGGCGCCATGGCATAGTAGGGTAGGCCTCTCCCTGTAGTGCGGGCGGCCCGTTGGTCCCGGCTGCTCCACTTCCCGTCCAGATCCCTGCTAACGGCCTGCAAGAGCAACAAAAGATGGTCCAAATCCTTGGGCCTCTGCCAGGCGTGTGGAAGACCCAGAGGAAGCTCCTGGTTCGGGACTGACCCAGCTCCAGCTGTTTGGACCGTTTAGGGAGTGACCCAGCAAATGCAAGATCCTCCTCTGTTTCTTCTCTGTATGCCTTTCAAATAAAAGGAAATAAATCTTTCAAAATAGAGAAAGTGAACGGAGCCGCCCGAGGATGCGCAGTGTTCTTTGAACCCAGATGGTGTGGCACCCACGTTCTGGAAGCAGGATTCCAGAAGGAGAACCGGATGTTGTGTTGTTTTGTTTTGTTTTTGCTCATCTGAAGCTTGCACGCTCGGAACGTGAGCTTAACGTCCGTAAAACAAAACAAAATAACCTGCGTGGAAAGTGGGGCTGTGAAGTAAGTGGTAATGACAACTTGGACCACCCGAGAGGGCAGTGTGCTGACCGGAACCCCTGACCGGCGGCCGGCAGGGATGTGACCTGAAGCACATCAGACTGCGGGTGTTTGTGCAGTAGCTGTTGGCCAGTGGCCTGCCAGGTCGCAGGCCATGAGAGCACAGGCAGCTGACGTGGCCTTGCTGGGCCCTGCCAAGGTGGTACCTGGCAAAAAGCAAAGCCCCCCAAGGCTGATCTCCTTCTAGGGAAATCATGTGAGTTCCCACGTAGATAGTGAATTGAAGGGGCGTGAGGAAGGGATCAGAAGGTTGCTTCTGTAAGCTGGAGTGGTTGGGCCAGGTGTGAGCGGCAGAGCTGTTGAGTAACGAAATTCCCAATGGAGCTGGAAAACAGAATGAGGGCTTCAGATTGATGGTAAGAGTTGGCGGGTGACGAGCAGCCGCTGGAGGTACACAAGATCCAGAGCCTAGATTAAAGATTTGGTGAAGTTGATCTTTGAAAGGTTTTGGTTTGCCGTTTTTTTAAAGTGAGTGAAATTTAAGTCTGGTCTTCTGAAAGTTTGCGTCTGCTTTTGAACTAACTCATTCCTGCGGTGACAGCCTGAGAATGTTCTGCCTTGCCACTTTAAGTCAGCTGTCAGCTTTAAACCCCGAGTGAGAGCACTTGAAATATTTATACACAGCTTTGTAGTCGGAACCCACACGCAGCCACTGGTCTTCACGTGGATTTGAGTGCTCGTTTTATTTTACTTTATTTTGCAGTCTGGATACTTGTCAGGCTTTCTTGTAGTTAAGTGAGAGAAACAGGATCTTTCTAATTGGTCCGGGCTGTGTCTCCCACTAATATGTTGATTGATGATGCATGTTGTTGCTGTATGGGATCTTGAGCCATAAGAACAAGCCCTGGGACCTGAAGTGATAGGACTAGATAAAATAGGAACATGTCCCCGCTGCAGTGAACTTGGGACAGTTGCCAGGCGTCTGTTACAACCTTGAGCCGAATTAAGTCAAAATAACTTTATTTTGTTTTCTTTCTAGTAACTGGTATGAACCCTCTGTCTCCTTATTTAAATGTGGACCCACGGTATCTTGTACAGGTAAGGTTGACATGTTCCTGGTTTGCCACCTGAGCTGTGTTTGAGCTGCCCAGAGGCACTAACTCTCTGGTCTTCAAGTGCCACATTTTGGTTTTGCTTTTTTTCCTCTCTCGTAAACCCTTGGACCCTAGCTTGCCGATTTGAGACCAGTTAACTTCAGAAGTTCTATAGTAAATTAATTAAAAACACTCAGATGAAAGTGTTGGCATAGGTAGTTATAAAGTTCGTTTTTACATCAAAGTTTCAAACAGAGCTGGTTGGATGCCTCAGGAAAGCAAGATTGAATAACATTTGAAGGTCAAGTAAGGTACCATGTCATATTAATGTATTGTAAAGCAGTAAAGGAAAGAATACAGGACGTAAAGTACACGCTTTTCTCTTAACTTTTTAATATTGTTGACACAGTTGAGGAGGATACACAACCATGTGGACCTCTGCTTAGCATGTGGGGAAGGTGGATGGGACAAATGTTTCCGTTTTTTTCTTCTTCTGCCTGTAGGGGAGAAGGGGAGGGGACCACTCCTTGCTGTCAAATTACATCGTCACCCCAGGATATGGGGTGCTCCCTTGATGATTCCTTAGAGACCCCATTGTGGAGAAGAGTATTCCAAGGATGGTTGAGGGATTTTGATAGTTGTGAAACGCTGCTGGTTTTGTTGCTCCAGGGTTGAGGAAATCTTCCCAAGTTCTGCTGGCTGATCAGGTGCCACCTCAGTGCATGCCACGCACCCAGGCATCTGCTACAAAGGTTGGTCCAGAGACTGGTCCAACCTGTCCAGCTTTCCATCCTCTGATGAAACACTCAGTGTTCTCTGCTGGCCTAGATGAGCTGGCTGTCCCTTGTATGTATCTGGGCATGCTGTCTACTACACGGACAACTGAGCAGAAGTGAGCAGCAGAGACATTGAATAACAGAATTCCGGATGCAGCTTGAAAACAGAACAGGGCTTCAGATTGATGGTAACATTCTCAGGCAATCAGCAACTGAGGGGGCCAGTCCCAATTGTGGTCAGACCACATATCTTGTGTTTTTCTCTGTGGCCAGGGTTTGAGTCCAGCCATCTAGATGAGAAGTGCCCAAGAAATCTCACCTGGGGTGACCTCAGTCTGGACTCTTGTGTACACCAGTAAGAGCAGGGTCAGATTTGCCCTGTCACCTGTACTAGCCAGCAGTACATACTGGTGGATGCATCTGCCTGGTCAGTTCTGTCCCCAGCGTCATCTCTTATGTAAGCTGATGGGTGTTGCCAGGGTAGTCAGGGCAAACCCCAATAGTCCGCACCAGGCCCAACCCCAGTTTTTGCATGTACTGGCTTGTTCTGCAGCCTAGCTCAGCCTGTCCCGTATCCCACCCAGCTCCCATGCACACCTGTGGGTGCTGCAGCTTAGCTCTGCCCACCCTCAGCCCTGGCTCTTGTGCCTACCACTGGGAGCTGTGGCCTCTCAGGGCAGTGTCCACAGTTTCCCTACCAAGTCTACTCCTTGCCAAGGGGTTATACAGGCTAATCTTTTTGTAAAATGTTTTTATTTTAGATGATGCTTACACAGTTGATCAGGATGGGAAGTATTGAGGGTCAGGGAAAAGGGGTGTGATCATTGTTTCTAAGTTTTCCATTTCTTTTCCCTGTATCTGGGGGGTCGGGAGGAGACCAGGGGAGAAGCCACATCCAGCCTCCCAACCACCCCAGCACCCAGGGATGGGGATGGAGAATGGCCACCCAGTATTGACCCAGGGTTCTGCCCAGGTGGTTTCGTTAGTTCTGAAATGTCTGTCTCACCTAGAGAACGCTTGCAATGTGTCCACTTTAGGGTCTCCATGCTCCCGGATATTGGCTGTCATCTTTGGGCAGAGGTAGTTGTCCAAACTGTTGTCTTCTCCTTCCTCTTATGCAGGCTAGTCATGCATGGTACACACCCAGTCCTGGCACTTACCAGCAGGTGTTTAGCCTGGCCCAGACATCCCCTCCATCTCTCCCTCACACAGGTCAGCAGGAAGGACATGATTCAACAGGTACAGAATGCATTAACACTGTCCAACACCCAAGCTAGAAATAGAAAAGAACTTTTTCAGCTTAGTAAATGGCGTCTACGAAATATCTTAAGCTAATGTATATGAAACTGAATACGTTCCTCCTAGGTTGACAAGTAAATCTGCCCTGCTCACTTCCGTATAACGTTGTCTAGCCAGGGCAATTTGGCAAGAGAATGAAATGGCGTACACATTGGAAAGGAAGAAGTCAAACTAGAAATGACATGATCTTGTCTGTAGCAACACACACACACACACACTAACATGTTAGAACTAATCTAATAAAAGAATTTATAAATTGGTTATTGGAGAAACAATTCTATTGCCAAAAGCATTGGAAACATCAAAATGTTTAGAAATAATCAGAAATGGGGTCAGCACATTGGCTCAGCTGGCTGATTGTCCACATCTGAGCACCAGCATCCCATGAGAGCACCGATTTCTGTCCTGGCTGCTCCACTTCCCGTCCAGCTCCCTGCTTGTTCTCCCTTGCTGACAGATGGGGAACAAATATTCTTTTCAGCACTTGTTGCTGGAGTAACCTGAGTCCGTATTCCAGAGAACAATGAGGTCACTTTCGGTGTGGCAGTTCAGGTGGTAATTGGGTGTTGGAAACCCATGTCAGCCTGAGTTTAGGTTCTAGCCCTGCCTCCAGACCCAGTTTCTTAGATTTTTTAGATCTGACACCAGAAACCCAACCGATCAGTTCAATCTGTAAATTTTTGTGCTTTGTACAACACCATCATAAGAGAAGAAGACTACTTCCCGTCCAGCTCCCTGCTCGTGGCCTGGGAAAGCAATAGGGAATGAGACTGCACCCGCATGGGAGACCCGGAAGAAGCTCCTGCATCCTGGTTTTGGTTTGCCTCAGCTCTGGCTGTTGTGGCCATTTGGCAAATGAAACAGTAGATGGGAGATCTTTGTCTCTTTGTAAAAAAAAAAAAAAAAAGTGCCTTTCCAATAAATAAGTCTTTAAATAAAAGTTGTTTTAAAAACCCAGTTATATAAAGATTGTCAAAAATAGATTAAAAAAAAAACCTAATTATAAAATGGGGGTGAAATCTGAATATAGTTCTTTATGAAGGTCAGTTTCCAATAGCTGTCAGCATTAATTTGAGAAATGCAAATTACAAAATTACAACGAAAAGCCAGTTCACATCTGCTAGTGACTAAAATCAGAAACCAGCCAGAACGATTCGCAAGGAAGTGGAAAAATTGGGCCTTCATACACATTGCTGCTGGGAGTGCAAAATGATATAGCTGCTTTGGAAATAGTCTAGCAGTTTCTCAGAACGTTAAAAATAGAGTTACTTTATGACCTGGCACTTACTTTAGGTAAGAGCGTATGCCTGAAGAATCGAAAGCATGACAAGTGACCCATGAATATTCCTAGTAGAATTATTCAGAATTGTTGAAAATGGAAACAAACCAGATGTCCATCAGCTAAGGAATGGATAAGCAAAATGTGTTCTGTTGCTGCAATGCAGTGATGTTTTGTAATGATACTTACTGCGGCATTTGATGACCACGGAGAACTTGCTGACCGACGGAAGCCAGTCAGAAACAGCCAGAGGCTGGACGATTCCATTTACATGATGTCCACAACAGGCAAATCCATTGACACAGCACGTGGGTCAGGAGCTGCCTCCGTCAGGCTGTGGGGAAAATTGGGTGATGGAACTGCCATGGGGTGGAATTCTTTGGGTGCTGAAAATGCTGTAAAACTGATTGTGCTTCGTTACACAGTTCTGAACATCCTGGAAACCATTGAATTGTTTAAATTTGTGAATTACATGGTATGTGAGTTGCACCAGTATCCATTTAAAATCTTCAGGAGAGTGGTGGAGCCTTTTGGTTCCAAGTCAAACCAGCACTAGCCACCTTTGTTGTTGGAGTTAAGTGCAGGTGGCAGCCAGGTGACGGTGGGGACCTAGCCTGCTTTCTGTCTGGATGTCGGTAGGGTAATTGTTCTCTCTTAGCTCTGGATGCATTGCTTTTTACTCGGGAAGACCCTCCTTAGGTGTCTACTTGTAACTTTGTAACTAATTTTGATTTTATGTGGGATCCAAGCTTGCAGATTGTGCCTCGAGCTCAATTACCGGTAGAGAGCCGTGGTGGCCCCACGTTGCTGGAGCTTGCATGCAGCAGCTCACAGTGATGGATTTGTGCCACCATTTTTATCTGGGCTCTGTTTGTGGTTTTAGCTTACTGCTGCCTTTATGTTCTCACTATTATATCCTCGCTGAAATATTCTTGAAAAACGTAAAGTTGGGGCCCGGCGCAGTGGCCTAGCGGCTAACATCCTCACCTGGAACTCACTGGGATCCCATATGGGTGCTGGTTCTACTCCCGGCAACTGCAATTTCCACCCAGCTCCCTGCTTGTGGCCTGGGAAGGCGGTTGAGGACGGCCCAAAGCCTTGGGACCCTGCACCCACCTGGGAGACTTGGAGGAAGTTCCTGGCTCCTGGCTTCAGATTGGCTCAGCACTGGTCGTTGCGGTCACTTGGGGGAGTGAGCCATCGGTCGGAAGATCTTCTCTGTTTCTCTGTGTATCTAACTTTGCAATGAAAATAAATAGATCTTTAAAAAAGAAGACGAACGTACAGTACTTTTCCTCCTGATTATCTGATATGGAGACATTTCTGCTGATGCACAGCCTGGGTGCGTGGTCCTTGGCATTAGCAAGCACTGCGCGTCGGGCACTCTGGTGGCCCTGGTCTCCAGGTGGTCAGCAGCGCTGGCTTCATGGCAGCCTACCAGTCTGTCTTCCCTAGAAGCAGTCCTCAGGCGTCGGCCTCATTTGTGTGTTATGTAATGTACATTTGATTCCATTTCTTTCTCTTCTTTAAAATTTTATTTATTTTTGTTGGAAAGTTTGATTAACACAGAGGAGGAGAGACAGAAAGATCTTCCATCTGCTGGTTCACTCCCCGAGTGGGTGCGATGGCCAGAGTTGAGCCAGTCTGAAGTCAGGAGCCAGGAGCTTGTTCCAGGTCTGCCATGCTGGTGCAGGGTCCCAAGGCTTTCGGCCGTCCTTAACTGCTTTCCCAGGTCACAAGCAGGGAGTTGGATGGGAAGTGGAGCAGCTGGGATGCGAACTGTTGCCCGTATGGAATCCCAGCACATGCAAGGTGAGGATTTAGCCACTAGGCTACCATGCCAGGCCCTGCTTCCATTTCCTGTGACTTCATTGTGCTTGATTCCGACTGAACAGTAATGTGCTACAGACATGTACCTGCTGTTGCTTGGTAACATTATAGTCATTTTAAATACTTCTTTATTTTTACTTTGTGATTCGTTTCTGGATTGAAGAATAATTATTTACCTTATTTGATTAAGCATACGTCTCCAGCAAGAACATTTGATATGACAGTTAGGATAATACTGCAGTGACTGCACTCTGCATCAGACTGCCTGGCTCTGGGTCTGCTGCGTTGGAGTCCAACTTCCTGCTGATGTACACTCTGAAAGGGAACAGGGAAGGGCTCCAGTACTTGGGTCCTTGACACTCTGGGAGACTCAGATTGCGTTTCAGGCACCCAGCCATGGCCTGGTCCAGCACTGGTTGCCGTGGGCACTGGGAAAGCAAACCTGCAGACAGAAGATCTTTTTCTCTCTATTATGTCTGCTTTTCCAATTAAAATGAAGTCATTCATGTAAAAGTCAAAACAAACCTGGGCAGGTGTGGTGACGTACTGGCTAAATCCTCACCTTGCATACAGGAACCCGTTTGTGTCCCGTGCTACATTTCCCATCCGGCTCCCTGCTTGTGGCCTGGGAAGGCAGTCAGGGACGGCCGAAAGGCTTGGGACCCTGCACCCGCGTGGGAGACCTGGAGGAAGTTCCTGGCTCCTGGGTTTGTACTACTTGTACCATTAAAGTAGAACTACTCACTTAATAATACTTCTTTGATAGTCTTAGAAAGCAGCAGAGTCTTTCCAATAAATGCATGCAAAAATATGGTCATAAATCTCTGGAAGCCCATCGGAAATCCTAGACTGAGTGCAATAAAATGATTGATCTTGAGGAAAATCCTTAGAAAGATCACATTCAATTCTTTGCCAAGATTTCTGTGCAAAAATGTAAGAAATTCTAAAGGACAGCACTTTTTGGTTTTGGAGAAAAAAAAATTAAAAAGCTGTATTTAACACAGTAAGGACCACTGAGAAGAAACACCTGCAGGTCTTGAGCCTTAGTGGGTACAGCCCTGACACTGGTGTCCTGTGGGTGTCCACGGGCTCGGCCAACACTGCCCCGTCAGTAAGCACATCTAGCTTCATTACACTGAAGTGATCTTCGGGTATTAATAAGCAAACACTGAATAGACTCCTTGCCATGTTGTATTATACATTTCTTTGTCAATTTGGGAGGCATTTTGAATTTTTCTAAAAAAAGATTCTTATATTTTTATTGGAAAGGCAGATGAGCAGAGAGGAGAAAGGATGGTCTTCCATCCACTGGTTTGCTCCCCAAGTGGCCCTCATTGGCCGGAGCTGAGCCAATCACCAGGAGCTCCCTGCGGGTGTGCCACTGGGGTGCAGGATCCCAAGGCTTGGGGCTATCCTATGCTGCTTTCCCAGGCCACAGGCAGGCAGCAGGAAGGGAACTGAATCAGACGGGACAGAAGACGGTGCCCATATGGGATCCTGGCACTTGCAAGGCGAGAATTTAGCCCCTGAACCATCTCACTGAGTCCTCTAACAGTTTCCAGTCGCCAGCTTTTACAGCTGTCCTTTTTAAACTCCTTAATGTTATTGCTTTACCATTATCATTTTGTAAGGCAGATTTCTTCCAGTCAAATTTACACTAGGGAAGGAGTCAAATATTTTCTTTATAAGTCAGAGGTTTGAACACGAAAATTCTCCCATACACTGGTTTGCCTTGTAAATGTCAGCAGCAGCTGGTCCTAAACCACACCAGGGTAGGAGCCCAGAGCTCAATGTTGGTCCTGCTCAAGTGGCAAGGACCCTGCCAGCCCTGGAGCTGTCAGCTGCTGCCCCGCGCTTGCACATCCACAGCAATGGGATGGAGCTCAACCCAGGTGTTCTGCCAGGAAGTGCGCAAGTCCCCAGAGGCCCCTTCACAGCTGATTCAATACCTCCCGCCCCCCAGGCCTGGAAACGAAATGTAAAATGAGAATTTTCTAGGGTATGTGTTGTGCTATTTCATCTCCTTTTGGTGTAGGCATTGCTTTTCTTGCAGGAGGTTTTGTTTATTTGTTTGTTTCAAGAAGTATCGTTGAGTTTTTGCTTTTTTGCAAAAAGGTTAAACAGGTGACGTGAGCGCTGAGGTCTGTCCTTGTGATTGCCCTTGCAGGATACGGATGAGTTTATTTTACCAACTGGCGCTAATAAGACCCGGGGCCGATTCGAGCTGGCCTTTTTCACCATTGGAGGATGTTGCATGACAGGTAGGTGTGAAGATTCTTTTGTTAAAGCAGTTGATGGAACTTAGATAGTAGTAGATTCAGAGGGTTTTTAAACTTTTTTTTTTATCATTTTCTAATAAAAGAATCAGAAGTGGCGTTGTTTCTGAATGTCAAGCTGTATAACGGGTGAATTGTTTGCTTTACCAGGGGCTGCGTTCGGGGCCGTGAACGGGCTTCGGCTAGGATTGAAGGAAACCCAGAACATGGCCTGGTCCAAGCCCAGAAACGTACAGTAAGTCGGTCACCTGATGTAGCCGTGCTGCAACAGCAGACTCCGCTTCGTTGGTTCGGTAGTGTTTAAATGAGAGGAAAAAAATCAGATCGGATTAACCCATCCTCAGTCCTTTCCCAGCTCGTTTAGCATGCTTTTCAAATTTCTTAAGACTAATAAATAATTTGTGCTGCTATGGGGCATGCAGAGAAAATGAGAAGCACCTGAGTGGTGGCTGGCTCTGCTGTCTTTCACCTTTACTAACCTCACTCTTTCTGAAGCGTAGTGCCACAAAATTAAATTCCTAGCATTTATGGGGTAGTTCCAAAAGGGTAAGACTGTTTTATGCTGGGTATGTAACAGACTGTAGGAAAGGGATAAGAACATTAAAAGGACTGGGAAGTGTCTGTAATGAGAAGTCAACGCGATCAATCCAGAAATGGAGTGCATAGTACGTATTTGGTGGCTCATAATTTAGTTGCTGGGATTCTAAACATACTGTTCAACCACCAGATGGCAGCAGTTGTCCCATAATTAGAACTGGCAAAGCTCTGGAAGACCTGTCAAGTTCCTATTTCTGTGCGTCTGTAGATTGTTATACGTACACGCCCAGCTACGGTGTTTTATTCTTATATGTGTCCCCTACATTTTGTGTGTGTGTGTGTGTGTGTGTGTGTGAGAGAGAGAGAGAGAGAGAGAGAGAGAGAGAGAGATGGGACATTTTGAATATGTTGACAAATAGGATGATACAATGAACACCTGTGAATCATGGCCAGTCCTTAACCATAACTCCAGCCATAACCAGTTAGATTCTAACTCCTTTTGGAAACATACTTAAGCATTTAATGGTGAATTTGGCAGCAGAAGATAGGCTGAGAAAGATAACCTGCCTTTCTTACGGCGGTAATAGTTAGATAATTGTTCTAACTCCCTTGCATGGGCACATAACATTGAATGATGGGAAGAAGGTGGAATTGAGAGCCAGCCACGTTCAGGTAGCTTTAGTGTCCTAGTTGCATTACTTACTGTTTCATGATTTGGGGTAAACTTTCTGTACTCCGTGCCTTAGCGTTCGGAACTGAGGGATGGTCTAGCGAGAAATAGGTAAGGGCTTCGCATATGGAAGCATGTAGGTGTGTTACCAAACCACATCCAAAAGCATTGTGCACCACCAGCAGTGCAATCATGAAAATAGCTTAAAACTAGTTCTAAAACAACATGTGGAACTTCAGGTAGTAGTTATCAGTGACTAGATAACATCACGGATCCACAGTGTTTTAGAGCCAGGACCTTGTGTTCCTGTAGAGCGTCACTGGAATGACTTCTTCCATGTCGGTTGTTTCCGGCAGGCGTCGGCTGTCCGGGCAGAACGTTCCTGCAACGGTGTTACAGTGCTGGGGGAAGGGCCTGTCCTCTTCAACCAGTTCTGCAGCGGGGGGCACTGGCGCCAGGCCGAGCTCTGCTTCCTTGAGCGTGAGCTTAGCATTCGCCTTTGGGCTGCTTAGTTCTAGCCTGGGAGCAGACAGTGCCTTCTCCACGTGTTTTATTTAGCTCTCTCCTTTTCTTTTCTTTTTTTTTTTTTTTTTAAGATTTATTTATTTTTATTGGAAAGTCAGATATACAGAGAGGAGGAGAGACAGAAAGATCTTCCGTCTGATGAGTCACTCCCCAAGTGAGCGCAACGGCTGATGCTATGACGATCCGAAGCCAGGAGCCAGGAACTTCTTGGTCTCCCACGCGGGTGCAGGGTCCCAAAGCTTTGGGCCGGCCTCGACTGCTCTCCCAGGCCACAGGCAGGGAGCTGGATGGGAAGTGGGGCTGCCAGGATTAGAACCGGCGCCCATATGGGATCCCGGTGCGTTCAAGGTGAGGACTTTAGCCGCTAGGCCACGCCACCAGGCCCTCTCTTCTTTTCTTTTAAGTCTTCTAAGTTTCTTTATAAAGTAAGGTCCAGGCTGTTACCTGAAGCTTTGCATATTCAGTATATATTTTAAATATTAAGAGAATTTTCCTCAGTCATCCCCCCACAGTGGTGAAAGATTCAACCTAGCTTCCCTGAAGTAATAGCCATCTTTGTTGAAATCTGAGGAGGTAGTAAAAATAAAACTGGAGAACACCCTTTTCAGTAGCTACTGTTTTATATTTATATATCAGGTTACTAGAGAAATAATGATTCTAAGTATGGATTCTTTGTCTTTCTTCTGCCATGGTAGGATCCTGAATATGGTGACAAGGCAAGGAGCACTCTGGGCTAACACTCTGGGGTCTCTGGGTGAGTAGAGAGCGCCTTCAACAATAAATTGTTATTACAAGCAGAGATTGCACAAGCTGTCATAAACAGTTTGATCAGCCAAAAACCTCTAGTCGCAGTATTTGAAACAATTGTGGGTTCTGTTTTGTTTTTTTAAGATTTACTTTTATTTAAAAGGCAGTTTTCGAGAGAGAGGGAGAAGCAGAGAGAGAGATGTCTTCATCTGCTGCTTCACTCCCCAAGTGGCTGCACTAGCCAGAGCTGGGCTGCTCAGGGACCAGGTCTCCCACATGTGTGCAGGGAACAAGGACTTGGGCCAGCCTCTGTTGCTTTCCCAGTCCCTAAGTAGGGAGCTGGACTGGAGGTGCAGCTGCCAGGACTAGCATCAGCATCCATATGGGATGCCAGCGCTCCAAGTGGAGCCACTCTGCCGGCCCCAAAACAGTTGTGTTCAAATCTACACTGATGAATAGTGCAGCCCCCTTAGGGAATAAGCATGAACTAGATGACAACCACAAAATCCATAAGTGCTAAGAGCTTTCTGATATCATCTCTGAAGCCTGCATACATTATTGCCCAGAAAGGAAACCAAATAAAACTATGTTTTCATTAAGTGGAATCCAGATATTTAGGTACAAGACAAGGGTTTGTATGTTAGGAAAGGTTCAAGGTCCTTTGTCATGGGGCGTGACGTGTTGATCCAGCCTTCCTGCTGTGTTTTCCTAGTAGCTTGTCAGCAGTCTGTCTGCTCCCTTGAGTAGATTCTGAGGTCCCAGTTGCCTGAGTTTTGATTGGTTCTTTGTAGATAATGAAAACATTTGTAGTTCTAGGCAAGGGGTGACTTAGTGTGCTTAGTCAGACGCAGATGCCTTTGATTCCGTATCATGTGCGAATGACTGGCTGTTCTAATTGCTGATCGCTTACAATAGACCTTTAGGGGCACTTACGCCCTGACATTTAAGGATGTCATAATTTGTTCATGTGGTTGAAAGTCCAAAAAATCTTTTCATTGTGGTGGATTAGCTAGGGCAATTTCAAGAGAGGTGACCCTCCATGTGACAGAGGCAGGACCCTCACCTGTCACGGGGTGTGGTAGTTGTAAATGTCAGATTTGCTTTTTGCCCTTTAGCCACTCCCCTATGTTTTCTTGTCTTCTCCCATCCCTCCCCTAGCCCCGTTCTCCTTTGTGCTTTTAATTGCTTCTATGCTTGAGTAGTCAGCGGGCCTGCCGTCCGTGGTAGCCGGAGATGGCTCACCGCCATGCATGTTCCCATGGGGATGTGACCAGTCCTAACGTCCTGCTCACAGGCACTCAGTTCTGCTTCTGTAGGTGAATAGAAATACCGCAGCAGGGGAGCTGTGAGGCTGAGCTTGAGGAAGTGCTGCGGGAGGGCCAAGGGTAGCTGTGATCTGGGGAAAGGGTAAAAAGGCCGGATGAGAATCTGTAAAGGCACTGCAGGCTAAGTGATGGCAGTTTTCATGTGTATGAGAATCAAACCTCCTCACAGTTTAAAAAACTGCTTTTGTGTAAAGAAATGTGAGTGTGCATGGAATCCAAAGTAGATGTGTCAGGAGTGACAAGTAGGTGAAAAGTTAAAAGTACTTCTGGAACTGCCCAGTGGTCCTTTGTCCAGAAAGAGCTGCTGCTCCGGGATCCTTGTAGACATCTCTGCCCGTCGGCCTTGCGCAGGCGCACGTGAGTTTGAGTGTGCGACACTGAGTCCAGCTCTTCCCGGCTTGTGACTTAAATCACCGTCTCACCTGCCATGGCGTGGGAAGCCCTCCCTGGCCCGGGACTGGTGTACATGCTCCTTACGCACATTCGTTGTCATGTTCTTACTGCTAGACAGTTACAGTGCTCATTCTCTATGTATCTGTGTTTGGATAAATGCGTTTAAATATAGTTGCCATACTGAGTTTACATGATATTTTTGTCACTGAGCTCTTGGTTTCCCCTTCAGCTTTGCTCTATAGTGCGTTTGGCGTTGTCATTGAGAAAACACGAGGGGCAGAAGACGACCTCAACACGGTAGCGGCCGGAACCATGACGGGCATGTTGTACAAATGCACAGGTAGGGGCTGCTGAGATACCTCCTCATACACTTGAAATGTGCTTTTTATCTGGGTTCACAAGCATGGAGTCCATTGACATGGTTGTGCAGCCAGTTCTCAGAAGTCTCATCTTGCGGAAAAGACACTTCACCCCCATGAACCAGCAGCTCCCCATAGCCCCGCCTCGCAGCCCTGAGCCCTGCTGCGGTGTCTGATTTGCGTGGAGACCTCGTATAGATGCAGTCATGCGGTGCTTGTCCTTCTGAGACGGGCTACCGCATTCGGCACGATGTCTTCAAGGTTCGCCTGTGTCGTAGCTCGGCTCAGAATTTCCTTCCGGAGGCTGAGTAGTCCACCACGTGTGAACACCACGGTGTGCCTGTCGGTGCTCTGTGGAGCGCTGCTTGAGCTGCTGCCGCTGTTGGACTCTTGTGCGTGATGCTGCTGTGAAGATGAGAACAGAAATACCTGCTGAAAACACTGTTTCCACTTTTGGATGCGTACCTAGTAGGACTGTTAGATCATAGGGCTCATTGCTGGTTTTTTACATTGGAAAAATGAGAGTGTCTTTGATATGCTTTTCGTTAATTTTCTTTATCTTGCATAGATTAAGGAACGGAAGAACTGGTTTTGTCTTAAGCAATCTAACTGGTGAGATCAGCATAGATAATTTATCACAAGACACACACACACACACACACGCGCGCCAGCATCCGTCCCCGTCACATTAGAGCATGCCCCTCCTGTGAGATGCCTGCTCTCTTGGCCGGCACGTTGACACCAGGCTTAGACAGTTCTCTTCTGTGGGTAAGTTTTGCTAGTTTAGAAGTAAACCTGTCCAGAAAATGCCTAATTCATGTTTTTGCTGATGTTAATGCATCTTTGCTCACTCTTCTTAATGTTATATATACAGTTTGATGAACTATCTTTTTAAAGATTTTTACGATTTATTTTTTGAAAGGCAGTGGTGGTGGGGCAGGTGGGAAGGAGGAGGGAAAGAAAGATCTTCCATGTGCTGGTTCACTACAAATCCAGGAGCCTGGAAGTCCATTCAGCTCTCCCACACTGGGTTCCGGGTCCCGGGCATGTAAGCAGGGATCTGAATTAGAAGTGGAACAGCTGGGACTGGAACCTGTGTTCATGCCAGTGTGGTGGTGGTGGGTGGAGACCCAGCTTGCTACACCACAATGCTGGCCCCTAAACCTAAAAGAATTTCATAATGCGAAAAGGTCTGCTCGACTCTCCTCAACTCTGAATCCCTATTTCCAATGGCAGCTTCCCTGATTAGCTTTTTAAAACAAACTTTTGAACATTCTTCTTTATGTGAGAGACAAAGCGCTGCCATCTTCTCCCAAACACCGCACTGGCCGTGAGCTGGGAACTTGGTCCCAGCAAGGTGGGCGGCGGGAACCCAGTAACTGGCAGCCGGGGCCAAGTTCCAGGCCCCCGCAGGGTGGCAGGAACCCAGTAACTGGCAGCCAGGGCCGGGCTCGGGCCCACTCTGCTGCGTCAGCCAAGTTTCTAAGTAACTCTTAGTGTTTGTCAATCTTTACTGTGATGGGCTTTTACAGGAAAACTGTGCGTGGTCCTGTAAGAATTCTACCAAATATGCTTTTGGGAGAAAATGGCTTGCTAGAGCGTCATCCTTTACCTGTTGTGTGTCACATGGGTTTTTAATTATTGGAAAAGCGGAGATGCTCGCAGTGGAAGCGAAGTCATCAAGAGGTTGTTTGGGCATGTGAAAGTTTACTTCTGAAGACGTGACACGGCAGGCAGCGCCTTTTAGTCGTAGCCCTAATGAAAACTGCCTTAATTTGAAGAACTGACTGTGTCTCCTTACTGACTGCTTTTGTAAGCTTTGTCTTAGTGGTATAAGCCAGGAGTTTGGGGGATTCTGGGGATGGCCTCTGTCTTGGTTTGTGAGACTTGCTTCCTAGAAATACATGATCAGGCCACCCTAAGGCTGATCAGCTGGCTGAGGTTGGCAAAACTGCAGCCGTTCTTGTTTTGCTATGACACTGGCCATGTTAAGGAGTTCTCATGTGCCAGAGGGAATTTTTTTAAGTCGAAATTTCGTATACCCCCTAAAATTGTGACATAGTGGCACCTGGCACAATGGCTCAGTGCCGGAATCCCATGTGGGCGTCAGTTCATTTCCCAGCTGCTCCACTTCCCATCCAGCTCCCTGCTTATGGCCTGGGAAAAGCAGTAAAGGGTATCCTAAAGCCTTGGGACCCTGCACCCATGTGGGAGACCTGGAGGAAGCTCCTGGCTCCTGACTTTCTAATAATAATAAATAAATTGGAAAGGAAATAAATTTGGAAAGGCAGATCCATGGAGGGAAGGAGAGACAAAGATCCTCTGTCCACTGGTTCGCTCCCCAAGTGGCTGCAGTGGCTGGAGCTGAGCCAGTCCTAAGCCAGGAGCCAGGAGCTTCCTCCAAGTCTCCCACAAGCAGAGTGCTAAGGCTTTGGGTTGTCCTCGTCTGCTTTCCCAGGCCACAAGCAGGGAGCTGGATGGGAAGTGGAGCAGCCGGGAAACGAACCAGCACCCATGTGGGACCCTGGTGGTTACACGGTGAGAATTTATCCACTAAGCCATTGTGCCAGGTCCCAATAAATTAAAAACCAAAAAAAAGGTAACATAATTTGTTAAAGAAGCAAAAGACCAGAACTAAAATCACATCATCAGAGTTCCTCCTGTAAGTGCACCTCGCTGTATTGTGACAGCTTTTTTTCCTAGTATATTTTTACTCATGAGTTTTGTTTCTACTTTTTAAAAAGCTCTATCTACTGGTGACACAGTCTGAACTCTTTCCTTTTCCTTTAAGTACTATTTTTAAACAATTATTTCTTTCATTTAAGAGGAAGTATTTTAGTTGTGTGTGGGTGTGTGTGTCACAAAGGCGCAGAGGCGTGGAGGGGAGGTGTGGATGGCAGCTGTCGGGAAGGCTCCGTGGCCTGGGCTTGGAGCAGGGTGCCAGGGAGGCAGTGCAGGTCTGCTGTGTGAGGGATGCGTGCGGGCTGTCAGGATCTACCTTGGCACGAAGCTGGAGACGGGCCTGGAACCCAGGCGCTCCAGGAGGAGTTGCAGAAGTCCTAGGGAGCAGCTGCCCCTTGGCAGTGGCCGGGGGCTCTTCTCAAATCGTTTCTTTTGAAAACATAGTTTTGTCCAACAAAACTCACCGAGTGCCATCCTTGTACTGTCAAAATTTTACATTTGTCTAACCCTAAATTGTTAGGTTTCTAACAAAAGTGGTATTGGCTGTAGTTGGGCTCCCCGGCAGCTGTTTCTGTGAGCACATGCCCAGATTTGCCCTGCAGGGATTCAGAGCTCTTAAACTTACATATCCGGCCCGCTTTTAGTGCAGAAGAAGCCTCTTGTTCTGGGAACAACTCGGAAGGTTGGGCTATGTAATCCTTTGAGACATCCTCCTGTGTCTATAGCACAAAAATGTTAATTGATATTTGTGACAAATTCCGTTCTGAAAAAATTACTCTTAATCATGCTGGCTAAGGAAAGCAGCCAGAATAAAGATACCTTTTAGCAGCGTGAGTATAGAATGTATGTAGTTGCTTAGCCATTTAAAGGGAACATGTGTCACCAGCTGTATGACCTTTGGAAAAAAAAAAAGTGTTGGTAAAATTGGACTTTATTAGTTTGCATAGTTGTGTTTGTAAGTGCTTACTCTTGTAGTTGCAATTCAGTGAATGGTGATTTATTTTCTTAGAACTTGCCCTGCACACAGTAGCATCATTTCACCCAAGAAGCTTTTGTGTTTTTTCATTTCTTCATCGATAACATTAGTTATTCAGTAGCATGTTGTTTACCTCCCTGGTGCTGTACATTTTTTGTTTTAACTTTATTGCTGTTGTTGACTTTGTTTCATGGCTTCTCATTTAAGGGAATGTATAGTGACAGCGTAATAGAGACTGGCATGTCCAGATGTGGAAGATACAGTGCAGTGTGCATCTCTACTTCCAAATCCAAGATGGACTCCCAGTGAAACTATTGGACATGTCTAGACAATAGGATGCTGGACTGTCTGCCATTGTCTGTACCAGCAATGTCAGGACACACCTGATGGACTTGTGACTGCTTATGAAGGACTATACTGTAGTAATATGGGGAAAATCAGTCAGTGGGGGTTGGAATTTGAGGACGTGGTAGGGAAATCCCAGACCCTATGGAATTGTACTATGAAATTCAAATTATTTATTTTTAAAATCTTGATCTTCACCCTGCTATTTTGTCCTAAATCTTTAAAATTAACTGGTCCAGTACCCCCAAGTTGTTAGCAGCTGGGTGTCCTGGGCGTCTGGATGCACAGAGCGTGGGATATGCCTAACTGCAACATGCTGCTCCCCCCAGAAGGAAGGGCATCCTCCCGGTGCTCTGCACAGACAGACCAGAGGACCTTGTGTGAAGTCAAAGGAGCCAGGCACACAAGGGCAAGCTGTGACTCAGGAGGTTCTTAGTCCTATTAATGGGAAATGTAGAATGGAGGCGGCCATGGGTCCCGGGTGCAGGATGGAGAGACGGGTGTGTGCTGGCGCTGGTGACTGTCGCACAGCCCTGCAGGTGTGCTTACTGCCTCTGAACCAGGCACGCGCAAATGGCTGGGACGAGCAGCTTTATGTTAACATGCGTTATACACAAAAACTGTTTTAAAAACAATTCAGTAGTCCCTTTCGAGAATGATGTTTTGTGGTGGGTGAGACCATGCCACCTCCTGCTGGCAGCTGAGGGCTAAGAGTGTATAACATTTTTTAATGGTTATTTTTAACACGATTACATAAGCACTTACATAAATCTTTGACCCTTAAAGCCTGACATACTCAGCCTAGGCCTTTGGAGAAAGATTTACTGCCCTCTGCTCTAACGACATTGTCATGTGGACGAGTTGAATGCCTTAGCTGTGCATCCCACAAACCTGGAACTTAAATATTCTAGGCCGTAATTCCCCGGCTTACCTTTTCTGAAGAGTTGTGTTAGGACCCAGCAGGGAGGCGGTCAACTGGAAACACAAGCCCCATGCTTGTTCGGCTTATCAAGGGTGACCATTGGTCTTATTTGGTTACTCTGTGTTCAGAGCAAGCATATTTGCTGATTAACTTCCTGTGCTTAGTTGGGCAGAAGTTGCTTGATTACAGAAAGCCTCAAACCAAGGTCCTGAAATCTTTTATTCGGTGGACAAGTTAGGAAAACATGGAATTAACGAGGAAGGTTAAAATCTGGCTGGTTTATGGAAAAAGGTGGCTGTGAGTCAGAATTAGTGAGTGATTGGTAAATGCATACCACCTGTGCTTGGGGTTGTCCTAGCGATAACCATTCTGTCTAGACTTTAGAAAGGTAATCTCATTGGTTCAAATTAAGGTTTTTGTTTGTTTGTTTTTTTTAGTCTTTATTTTATTTTTATTGGAAAGTTAGATATACAAAGAGGAGGAGAGACAGAGAGGAAGATCTTCCATCCTTTGATTCACTCCCCAAGTTGCCACAGGAGCTGAGCCAATCTGAAGCCGGGAGCCAGGAACCTCCTCCAGGTCTCTTATGTAGGTGCAGGGTCCCAAGGCTCTGTGCCGTGCTCGACTGCTTTCCCAGGCCACAAGCAGGGAGCTGGATGGGAAGCAGCACCCATAAGGGATCCCAGCGTGTATAAGGCGAGGACTTTAGCTGCTAGGCTGGTCCTATTGGGCCCTAGACTAAGTTTTTATCTGCTTAAATAGAAAGCTTTCTTGGGGATTAATAATTCATGAGGAACACATATTACATTATTGGTTTCCCAAAACTTCAAAGTATTATAGGGAACATTGTGATGATGTTGAGAAAAGATTCCCAGGGCTTATTTCATAGCCAAGAAGTGGCTTGGAAAATGGAATTTATGGGTAGGTTTGTTTGGGAGCAAAAAACCAAAAATTCTTTTGAGATCCACATATGTATGAGGACTCTTCAAAGAGATTTTAGAAAATGCCAAGTTATGAAGACACAGGGCCTGGTTTTAATTTTGTTGTTGGATTAACATGAATTGTTTAAATGCATTTTTCTGTGACCTTCTGAAGGACCTGGTCAGTGGGCCGGGTGGGGGCTGTGTTCTTGGACCCTGACAGGAGAGGTGGGCTTGTTGGTCCTGTCTGTCCGAGCCAGCCAGTAGGCCTGGGGGACCTAGGAGGGCTGGCCTGTGCTCCCGCCGTCTGCCCTCAGCCACAGCGATGAGGCATCTCGTGTTTATGTTGGTTAGGCGGAATTGAGTATCAAGTGTCAGCTCATTGCCTCGTAAATTTTATAGTTTATGGAGCCACAGCATTGCTGCCTCACAGTCCTTGGCATTCGCTGTCTCTGTGCCTTGGGGTGGTTTTCCCTCCCAGGGCTTGGTTTACAGGTGATCTTCCACAGCCTGGTTACTGGCTTGCTAGTGAGAGACTGAACGTGGACTTTCACACCCTGTGATGAGTGTCCGTGTGCCACACAGCAGAAAGCTGCTCAGAGAGGATGTCTGTAGTTTGGGTCTGTTCTGAAGAGATAAGGACAGAACTGACAGTGGAAGCATAGGAACCGGGGCGGGTCAGCTATCAGAAGTCTTCAGACTGGAAAGATTCATCTATCAGCTGAAGCCACGTGCTGGGACGCGAGTGCAGAGTGGTCAGTTCTGAAGTGCTGTAACTCGGCAGCATGGCTCCGTTCCAGAATTGGCCTCCGTAGGTAACCGGTGCCGTCCTAGGGCGCTCCAGCTTTGTCTTCCTTGTAAGTGAAGTCCCGGCTGCCTGAAGCTGTGGCATCTGCCTTGTCCGGGAGACTAACAGAGCATCTCTTTTGCCAAGCTACTTTGGAAATGCCCACTCCTGTGTGGAATGTTCACTTGGTTCCTCTTTACCATGTAAAACATACAAGACTGACATTTTACAGCTATAGACAGTTGGCCTTTTCTAGTTCTGAGAAATTTGTAGTTTCCTCTTCCTTGATAACTGCTTGAAAGCAGAAATATTTTTCTTCATTTGGAATGCTCACTGCTGATCTTTTTCTTCCACATGAAATAATCTTGTTGAAAACGGTTCAGATTCTTTTATTTTTTTCCAAGTATGGGTTGCGTAACTTCATTACGTGTGGAGACTGTCGGTACCTGGTCAGAGGCATCTTTACCATTGCATATCTGCACCGGTGTGTGTCCCAGCTGCTCCACCTCCCACCCAGCTCCCTGCTTGTAGACTGGGAAAGCAGACGAGGGCAGCCCAAAGCCTTAGGCCTCCACATCCATGTGGAAACCCCAAAGAAGCTCCTGGCTTTGGATTGGCCCAGCTCTGGCCATGGAAGCCATTTGGGGAGTGAAGCAGCAGATGGAAGGTCTTTCTGTCTCTCCTCCTCTTTGTAAAATCTGCCTTTCCAATATATTTCTAGAAATATATAATTTATAAATTATAAGTACATAAAAATATAATTTATACATATATTGGAAAGGCAGATTTACAGAGACACGAGATAAATCTTTTATCCATTGGTTCACTCCTCAAATGGCCACATCAGCCTTGGCTGGGTAAAGTCAAAACAAGGAGTTCATCCTGGTCCCCCTCATGAGTACAGGAACCCAAGGACTTGGGGTAGTCTCAGCTGCTTTGCCAGGCACATCAGCAGGGAGCTGGATCAAAAGTGGGGCAGGTAGGATTTGAACCAGTGCCCACATGGGATGTCAGCACAGGCGGTGGTGTAACTTGTTACTCTATAACACTGGCCCCAGGTTGTAACTGTGCTTCTTGAGTCTTCAGATATGTAGATGGCCTGTCTGGAGTTCAAGGCTATTAATTACAGCTTCCAAACAGGGTGTCACCTTGTCCTCAGCCTTGACTCTATTCATGGCACTGCACTGATGTAGTTCTAAACTATATAACTAGCAGGAAGTTACTCATCCAGTTGGAACTTTAATAACAATAATAATCAGGCCCGGTGTGGTGGCCTAGCGGCCAAAATTCTCACCTTGAAAGCCCCGGGATCCATATGGGCACTGGTTCTAGTCCCCGCAGCTGCCCTTCCCATCCAGCTCCCTGCTTGTAGCCTGGGAAAGCAGTCAAGGACGGCCCAAAGCTTTGGGACCCTGCACCCGTGTGGGAGATCTGGAGGAAGCTCCTGGCTCCTGGCTTGGGATCGGTGCAGCACCGGCCGTTGCGCTGACTTGGGGAGTGAATCACCAGACGGAAGATCTTTCTCTCTGTCTCTCCTCCTCTCTGTATATCTGACTTTGCAATGAAAAATAAATAAATCTTAAAAAAAAATTTATCAGATTTGTCAAACTGCTGTGGAGACAAGCTCAATTGAGAGTGATTAAGAAAATGATTAATGCTAGTCACCTTAGGCATAACAGTATAAAGCTAAAAGTGAAAAAGGTTATAATTGTTTTAATGTAAGATTATGTATTACACATGATCGCTCCTGTTTGGGTGAAAAGGTGTCCCTCTGTCATGTCTTCTGTCCATTTTAACAACCTTCCTGTACTCCTCCAAAGGAAGGGCGCTGTTTGATGGTGTTTCCCCTTCTCTCCAGGTGGTCTTCGAGGGGTCGCGCGAGGTGGTCTGGCAGGACTCACCCTTACCAGTCTCTATGCACTGTATAACAACTGGGAGCACATGAAAGGCTCCTTGCTCCAGCAGTCGCTCTGAGGACACGGCCAACTCCGAGGAGGACGCCTCAGTCATCAGTCTGGAGCTGTTTCGTCTTCTGCCTACAATTATTTTTAAAAAATTGGAGATTTTGACTTGCTGCAATCAAGATCATGGATGGCTGACCAAGACTGCCACGCCTCCTTGCCTTTAGTTGAAGCCAGAACCCTGCAGTGGGTGTGGCCAAGTGATGTTGGGTCTTTTCCTCCTTTGGAGAAGACGTTGCACCTAGCCTCTCTTCCCCTTCAGCTGGAAAACCACTTACTCCCACTATCCAGGTCCTGAGTGCTTGTAATGCCGTACCGTTTGTTCACTTGAGGGAGCCGAAACTCTTCCTAACGCCCTAGACCCCAATAGAGGGTGAAAACAGGACCAGAGGTAGCAGCTTCAACACTGGGTGTTTCCATTTTAAACCATGTATCTGACTGTAATGTAAAAGTTACTCTTGGTTTTTCTGCCCCTGCAGACTAAAACATTTTTTTTCTTTCTTTCTTGTGGTGAAATGAAGGGCTACTGGTGATCATCGCAGGTGGAGTGAGATTTCCCTCCAAAGGGGCTGACACTAAACCTCACCATGTTCCAGGTCAACCATTAAAGTAGTGGACTAGTCTGCCCAACAGTCATGCTGAAGCCTTTGTCCTTTGTGCGTTCGCTCATGTGGGGAACAAGCTGGACACCTTTCAGAGAGGCCTGGGAAGTAAGGACACGTTTTTAAGACTCAAATAAAAATAGTTTGAGCTCCAGTTGTTTCTTGGCCATATTCCTAACCAGAATATTCCACACGTATATGTAACAGTTTTACAGATTCACACAGCGAGGACAACAGTGGTGGTTATGCTTTTAATGGAGAAAAATGTATCAATGCCAAAGAATGTCTTATATACTCATTAGCTCAGTGATTAAAGTCATTACATTTGGTACAGTACAATGTGTTGGATTTCAAAGAAGAGACTACACATTTTTCTGCAACCTAAGGTATTGCAAAGGCTCAAGTTGTTTTTAATACTACCTATATTGTAAAATATCCGGGGGAAATTAACAAGAGTTTTTTTAGTTGCATGTGGTGAAACTGCACAGCAATGACACTGTTGGGATCATGACAATTTTCCTAGCATTATTTCCAATAACAGGCAAGTTAGGGGGCTAAGCTATCTCAGAGATTTTTACAATCTTGTAAATCCCATGTTTGCCCCAGAGAAACATTAAAGCATGTACATGATTTTAATGTTAAGAAAATATCAAATAGTTTTCATAAAGCTTCAGTAAACACCCCAAGGCACAAGTGTTGAAGTGGCCTGTTCACTACCATGTCACTGCACTGTGGTTTTGGAGGTACAGGAACGCTGTGCTTGTGGGCAGAGGGCATCGACTATCCCTGTGGAAAAGCACCAGGTCCCACGCTCAGCTTCCACTGACACAGGCTGCACCAGTTATCCGCAGGATAGTGAGTGGTTCAAGGACTGCATTTACGGCATATTTTGCCTTTCTGCTCTTAGTGCTGGAAGATTTTAAGCATGTTGGCCTGTAGAGTATTTTCAAAGAGTGAAGACTACCCTGAAACTGGTCCTGAACAAAGAGCCTTTCTGAAAGTGCTCCTTGGTACTTCAGGAACGGGTGGAGAAATGAATAAGGGACAAGCTGACTTTCTCAAGTGAAGAAGGATCATGTAGAGCTGATAATCTAGATTAAAATGTTTGGGCAAGATTATCAATACATATCTGGTAAAGCAAACACTACCGTATTGGCAGGGCTCACTGTACTGAGAAGAGTCATTACTCGGGCCATGGACAGAAGAAATCTCACAGCAGGAGAAACATCTTGGGGCAACCCACAGGGCAGACAAGTCACCAGCTGTAGGGCAGGGGCATCAACAGATTACAGAAACATCTCACTTTTAAATGACAGCGTTTTAATGTACTTCTAGTGATAACCCAGGCTAAGCAGCCAAGGAGGCTTGTGAGGACTGTCCACCAACGTGTGCTGCATTTCTCAGGCGGGGGTCGATTAACAACACTTCTGGAAGAAGGAACTTGGCCATCTCAGTGTCAACCAGTAGCCTTTTTCCGTTACATGGGAACTTGGAATTTTAGAACTTGTTTTTCTTCACTAGTTCAAAATCAGACAGGAAAAGAACTTAAGCTCACAGTTCAGACCCAGAAACAATGATTTGGCAAGCCACACTCAGCTCATGGATGCGTGATCATCTGAGAAAGAGCTCTTGACTGTAGTCCATTCACATCTACGGAAAGAAACCCACAAGTAACAAATCACTTCAGTGGAAGCAAAGCATGTTCTCATCTTGAAACTGCCACAAGAGATCTGAAAATTCTGACATCTCCAAAGGTCATTCTGAAGCCTTATGAGCAGCCCGCCATTCCCGCCTCCCCATATCTGCAGTGGATAAAGCATTTCACATGTAAGACAATTCCACTGTGACCAGCTGTAACACTGTAAATACACTCTTGGCATAAACCTACCTGTAGAGGAGTTCGATACAACCACTTCTCTTTATCAGCCTTAAGCTGCATACAGGCAAAGAGGTCACACACTGCCGGGAGGCCATAGCGCTCAGGAGTGAAGGGCCGCTCCTTCTGCAGAGGTGAAGTGAGTAAGACTTCCTGCAGGAAGACAAGACAGGTGTGCTGCCGCATGACGGCTGGGGGGCCCCAAGGCCGGCCCCACCCATCTTCCAACTACCGACTGGAAATATCGTCAATGTCAGCTGACACCAAAGGCAGCAGAAATTCCCCAAATCATTTCCTTAGTAAAAACAAGTTGCACTTCTCTTTCCTGCAGGATTGGGGGCTTGGCAAGTGCACTCATCATTTGTTCTGAATAATCTTACGAGTTTTCCTTTCAGTTGCCAACATGACATCAAAATAAATACCTCAGCCAGATTTAGCATTTAACCTATTTAAGGATATGGCCTATTTCTAAAACCCAGACTGTTATTTTGCTGTTGGCTCACCTTAACCTTCTTCCGAAGTAGCCACTTGTCCTCTTCAGAGGCTGGCTGGCTGAGCTTCGCTACCTTCTTTCCGGGCAACACCCAGTCAGCAGTGTTGAAGGGATACGGAGAAGTGGCTGTGGGGCTTTTTAGATTCTGTTTGCCAGGTCTGTCTTCCGTAGGAGGCACTTCCCCAGGAATTCCTTCTTTGCACACAGGACTCATGAGCCACTCTGACAAGGGACTGCTCCTGATGGCCTGGAAGGAACCAGCGATTCTGGAAGGGGCCAAGGCTTTTGGTGCACTAGTTTGTTCTGTTTCTCCTTTTCTGGAAGGACAGAGCCACATACTCAAGGAATCTTTATGCTGCTCAGGTGCAGACTTGGGTTTCACAGGCACTCCGTTTTTGTCTTTCCCTTCCTTCTTTAGAAGCCACTTACACAGAGCTTCCTTCTCACAATTCTCCTCACACACACACTGCGCAAAGCTGGCACAGGGCTCGTTAGCTTTGCACACCTCTTCTACCTTATAGGGGTCCTGACGGGTCTGGACCAGCCAATCCTCAGGAACGAGGCTAGGAGTAGATAGTGGCTTCTTGGCTTCCAAGTGGTCATTCAGGCACTTGAGACTGCCCAGGTTTTCGATCTCCACGCCTTTGGGCTGGTTGCCCCCACAGTTGGTGCAGGAGCCGGGCTTGGCGAGCCAGTCGCTCACGCTGTAGGGCTCCTGGAAGGCCTGGAACAGGAGCTTCAGCTGCTCACTGGCCTCACAGCTGCCATTGCCAGGCCTCAGTGGCGTCTGTGATTCCTGGGGAGTCACCAGCCAGTCAGACAGGTCCATCTCATCTGGAGCAAGCAGCTCTCTGTCATCCACCTTTCCAAGTTCACCAGAGAACGCACTGGTGGCAGGATGGTTGTTGCACTTTGGGGAACTTGGCTTTTCCGGAATTTCTTGCTGACTCCTGAGGAGCCAGTTTTCTAAGCCCTTCAGATTACCCCAGATGTTACTGAGGAAATGGCAGGCTCTGGCAGGCGTCTACACAAAAGAACACAGTGTCAGTGCAATCAGGTCTGCATTTACTGTGCCCAGTGTTTCTAGGTGTAAACCCAAGAGGCAATGGTGTTCTGTTTAAATACTACTGAAATATGCTACATTAAAAAAACTGTTCTCTGTAGTTTGTGGAAAACAGAGATGGAAGAGACAAGCTATAACTGAAGTATCTGCAGCCTCAGTGATAGTAAGACCAGTATCTACATGAGTAAATAGAAAATGGGCAAGCAATATATGACCAAGAAAGTCGTCACAGAATCTAACATGAAAGTGAACAATCGCCTTACTCGTCAAAGGAACCCAAAACAAAAACAAAGCTGGCACTTCGCATTAAAAAAATCAGAGGAAGAAAACCTTGCAGTTTTCAAGGTTTCAGGAAGCAGGAGACCTGAATTCCCTGCTAGTGGAAAGGCGACATGACCAACTTCCTGGAAAATCAAACTGGCAGTAAGTATTGATACTCTAAAAAGGTACACTGCACTGTCACCTTGGGTGCCGTGGGGAGGCATTCATTCCTAAGGGAACTCCTCAGGAATGCACATGAGTGATTAACTACCAGAGGCTCGTGAGAGCTTTGTCTATATCTAGAAATACAGATTGAAGTTATAGCAATGAAAAATATATGCTATGGCAGATTTTGTGGAATTAAAATATATTTTATACAAGATTTACAGAATTACTTTGTGAAAGTATACCAATGCATAAAAAATTAGCATTATAAACAAAAACATTTGTCTTGTGTTCATAATAGGATTGTGGGTTTTGTTTTTTAAATATGAAGTTATTTCCTAACTTTTAACTGTAAGGAAGAGATGTCCTTAGTGTAATTAAGTATGCGTCCATATGGCAACAAAAACCAACTACTGATTGGTAACTGACCCCACCTGCTACTGTGGGTACCACAGCCATAAAGAAAGCAGCAACAAACCTGACTGTTCTCCAGGGTCGGCTTTTGACTGAGCCAGTCCTGGAGGTTGGTGCTGGGTGCATAAGGAACTTGACAGCCATTAGCAGGTTTGCTTCCAAGGAGCCAGTCACTGAGAGGAACAGCTGGGGTGCAGGATGCGGCCTTCTGTTAATCACAGAAAAGGTTGCCTTAACAAGGAAATGTCACATGCCATATACAGTCTCCCAGAGAAACGGCAGACTCTGGGTTTGCCGTGGGGCGGGCAGGTGCCTGCCTTCCCTAGTGTAAAATAAGGAGTATAGCAGAGCTCCTGGACTCCAGGATTCTCAAATCACATCGCCTTTGGAAAGAAACTGAATTACAAAGACAGTCCCAAAGAGAGAGCAATACCAGTAAGTCAGATGACCTTAATGTCCTGACTGGTTATTAATGATTACCTATAGCTATAAAATAGTTTAATTTCTACTTGACATTCAATCTCAGGAAAGTATTCAATTACACTAACTCATTACCACTAGTTTTTTTTGTTTGTTTGTTTTAGTTTTTTGCAAATAAACTGTATAAAAAGGAAAAAGAGATTTACTTAAAACCCAAAGGAACCATAAGCCAGCAGAACCATAAGCCACCTTTACCTGCTCTGGTGATGGAATCCAGCCTCTCTTTTCCAGCAAGGGTCCAGTGTTTGCTGAACTAGCATGAGCCATCAGGTGTTCAGGAATTTGCTATCAAAGCAAGGCAATCTGGTCATGTTATTCATGCTTACACACATTCACAAATTCCATGTATTATTTTTCAATTTAAAATATTACAAGAGTTGCCACTTCACTACAATACTACTTACACTATGTGACCTACAAAGCAGTTATGAAATCTGAGTCCTCTATTTACTGTACATACATATAGATGTAGCTATATCACACCAGCAATGGAGATATTATTACTTTTCATGTGCCCCAGATGAGACCACGTCTGATTCTTTATTAAAGGTCACTCAAGCCATAATTTTGTAAGAAAAATGTCAAGAGCGTTTACAGAGAAACAGGATGAGTTACAAAGACCTTCAATGAGTCAATTCCCACACCCCAAAGGTAGCAGTCTAGTACGCTATCAGCTTTATCAGGAATGAAATTTCTGAGAGCTACCAAATGCATATCTTTTTAAATCAGGCCGCCTGTGGGAGACCACAGACCACAGGCACCCTGATGCATCTTAGAGGAGCATCACTCACCATGGTCTTGAGGGACCCGAAGGTGGTGATGGTCTGGCGCAGGGAACTGGTGTCGGCCTCAAAAAGCAGGACAGTCGAGTCTTCAGGCTTAAGGGTCAAACTGCCCAGTCTGGGGAAAAATAGTGTTTTTAAAAAGACTGATTTATTTCTTGAAAGTCAGAATTACTGTAAGAGGGAGAGACAAAGGGAGATTGCCCATCTGCTGACTGTCTCCCGAAAGGCCCACCGCAGCCACAGCCGGGCTGGCCATGTGGACACAGGGGCCCGAGGACCTGGACCCTCCTCTGCTGCCCTCCTAGGCCATTAGCAGGAACTCAAACTGGTGCTCATATGGGATGCTGGCACCACAGAAGGATAGCATGCTAAGCCATCATGCTGGCCTGCAGTAAACATAAATTTTAAGGAACATTTGTTCAACATCACAACAAAAGCCCAATTACGATTTTAAATGACTTCATTTCTCTAAGAACTTCAACTACTGATGACTGGAATGAGGCAACACCAAATATACATATACATGATGATTTCAAATAGAAAACAGAGAAGGGCAATGCATGCAGTACGCCACAAAGCTATCTTTTGACAAACCAAGATTAAGGAGTCTGAAACCAAGCTTTCCAAAAAAAAGGTCTTTACCTCTCCAGACACACGGAGACTTGATTGGCTAGATCTTTGCTTTGGGTGCACTCCAGCTGATGAATGAGACAGTTGAACTGGCCCAGTAACTGCAAGAAAAAAGGATACCATTTAGTCCCAAAGACAATAAAAGCAGCAGGTGGATCCCAGCTAAGCAAACTGTGCAATTGAACTTAGTTATCCAACTGCATGGCAAGGAAGACATCCTCCGGAAATCTAAAACCAGGCTCCAACCAGTCCCAGTGCCGCGGCCCTCACCCAGTAGAGCTGCTGGGCCTGCTGCTGGAGCGTCTCCTCCTTCAGCTGATGGATGAGGTCCACCTGCTCACACAGCCACACCTCTCGGCTGCGCAGACATTCCAGGTGGCGGCTGATGCTGCTGTGGATCTGCGCTTTGACCTAGGAAGAAGACGTGCACGTTAGCTCCTCCACCGACCTGAAGCCAAAGAACCAGCGGTGAGGGTCTTCCACGTCCGGGACCACCCAGCCTTTGATTGGTAGCAGCTACAGTACATCTTCCGGGGGGGGGACATGTGTACACTCAAAACTGCGTTAGAGGATCAAGATCTGACATGCCGAAGATGATTCAAGGATCCACCAAAGTCTTACTGGACCCCAATTTTAAAGAATCCCAGGCCCTAAAACCCTCCCTCGGAATCCTTTCGTCTTCAGAGAAAGTTAATTTTGAGCACTTTATTTTCAAGAGAAACTAGAAGGTTGTGTCTTCCAGGAGATGCTGAGCCCCTCAGCTTCCCATGTAATTTGACAACCTCTCGCTTTACAGGTTTATTGGGAAAGGACAGCCAGCCTCATCTGCTCCTAAGCCACACAATGAGCAGTCCACTTAGAGTAGCCTGAATGAGCAAACTGAGGTGACTACAGAATGGACAGTTTAAATACAACGATAAACCGCATGTTTCTGGAAGCATAAGCAATGATTCAAATGGGAGCTAAATAAAAAAAAAAAAAATTCCCAAGGAGAAAAATCAAAACTGCTGTAAATTATTTCATGAGAATATGAAACTACATATTTTAAAATCTCTATTTATTTCAAAGGCAGACAGACACATAGACACAGAGTTAAGACAGAAAGCTCCAAACTCCCTGCGGCCTCACCCCTCAGATGCCCACGGTGTGGCCAGGGCCAAAGCTGAGAGCCAGAAACTCAAGGCTGGAACCCAAGAGCCTGAGTCATCCCTGCTGCTCCCAGGCTGTGCGTTAGCAGGGAAGCTGGACCAGAAACGGATAACGCACACTGAACCCAGCACTCTGACATGAAGCACAGCTGTGCTCTTACCCAGCATCCTAATCGTGCCCTGAAAACACTTTAAATTTTGTTCTGTGTAATAAATGCAGTTCTGTTTCAAAGTCAAGTTATATTTAGTTTGCATACTTGCTGAAGAATGCTAATGGGATTAACAGGTTTCACTGCGGCCTGTTGCAAAAGTCATACAGGAGAGCAATGTCACCAGCGAGCTAAGACGATGAGGGCAGCTGGAAGAGCCCTCATTTACCTGTCAGGAAGAGGTGCATGCGCACTGCTCACTCCCTCCATTGCTCTGTGCTGATGACCATGCCCGGCACAGGGGCCACATGGAAGAACCATCAAAAATCCAGTGGTTACAACATCCACACAGCCACAGCAGAAAGCCAAGTCTCATATCTGGCTCCAGCTCCTGGCTCAAGCCTCCTGCTAATACACAGAATGGTTCAAAAAATTGGGTTCCTGCCACTGTTGGGGACACCTGGTCTGAGTTCCCTGATTCCAGTGTTGGCTTGGTTCAGTCTCAGCTGTTGGAAGCATTTCAGGAGTTTAAGCATCAGAGCTGAGCTCTAGGTATCTGCCTCTCTTAACTCTAAAATAAATGATTTTTAAAAGTGCACATTGAGGGCCCGGCGGTGTGGCCTAGTGGCTAAAGTCCTCGCCTTGAACGCGCCAGGATCCCATATGGGCACCAGTTCTAATCCCGGCAGCTCCACTTCCCATCCAGCTCCCTGCCTGTGGCCCGGGAAAGCAGTCGAGTATGACCCAAAGCTTTGGGACCATGCACCCGTGTGGGAGACCCGGAAGAAGCTCCTGGATCCTGGCTTCGGATCGGCATAGCATTAGCCGTTGCGCTCACTTGGGGAGTGAATCAAAGGATGGAAGATCTTCCTCTCTGTCTCTCCTCCTCTCTGTATATCTGACTTTCCAATAAGTAAAAAAAAAAAAAAAAAAGTGCACGTCGAAAAGAATTCTACAGAGTAGGGCTTTCAACTCTTCTAGGTCTTCCTTATCATCCCTTGGGATCAAAGGCACCTAGGTGCCGGATAGCTGACCAGGACTGAGTAGACCATGCAAGATATGGGGTGCAACTTTTTGGTTGGCGTGCGGCAGCTGAGCCCAGACAAAAGAAGAGACAAGCCCGTGTCATACCTCACGCAGGTTCTCTTTGATCTGCTGTTCAGCCCGGAGAACTTCTCCGATGGCAAGCTCCAAGTCCCTCCGTGCATCACTGCACCTCACAAGAGGTTCTCGATTACTCGAGCAGCCACTCTGGTCCTGTGCAGTATTCATTCTGCTCACAGTTCCTTTAAAAGAAACAAAATGGATAATAATAAGAATTCCAAGTAGTACAATAACTATGATCTAAAACCACCTTGCGAACGCTCCTAAGTAATCATCCCAACCAGTGGACATTACCAAGTGCAGAGACTACGTCCAACCCAAGACCCGACACACAGGATACTCCGTACTACTGTCCCTCCCTTCTCTCTGCCCATTCAGTGTTGCTGCCAGTGACACTCCACATGTAAACAAGTATTTCTGAAGGAGTGCACAGGTACCTTAACAGGGACACAGACTCTGAGAAGTGAAAAGACTGTGGAGCCTAAGTTTCTAAACCACCCAGGCCTTTGAGGCATGTGCTCCCTGGAAGGCTGCGATGGAGACCAACAGCTAGGAGACCACAGTTACTTCGAAAACAGGCTGTGAACTAACAATGTAATACACAGAGTTTACAACACCACTGATAACTGCCATTGCCTCCATTCACAGGAAAGATGAAATTTCTGATTTTCTGTTTTAGGAATTTTTGATTTTGTTTAAGTTGGAAGAACACAGGTATGATTTTCACAGCTAGAGAACGCTCACACGATTCCGATACAAAGGGGGCACTTAGAGAACTGGTCTGGGCAAATGCAGAGCATTCTCTCAAGTCTATCCGAGCTGAGAAAGTAGGAAAGGCAGTATGTGTTACAGGAAGATGTCGGCAAAGCAATGAAGGGAAGCTTGACAAGAGCGGCTGGGTGCGGAGTTTCATGTTTATTCTGAAGAAGCACTGACCACTGCAGCCTGCACAGTCACCACGCCCTTACGCCAAAGTGACTTCCCTCTGGACAGTAATACACAGACACAGTATCTCTGGACAGTAAGACGGCAAGACAGCATGCTATCTTTGTGGACAAAGGGATAATAAGCTAATCGAAATACAATACAACTGACCATAAATATTTCTGACATGGTAAAGTTTGTAGAGGTGTGTCCAGTTCTTCCTAACTACTCATTTTCCTTTAAGGAAGGCATAGAAGTCAGACATTAAATTTGGAGGTAACATGGTACAGTGACAGAAAGGGATCACAAAACAATTTCTACATAAGCTGTCAGTGTCTATAAAATGTAAATGTTTTGCATAAGAGAATGAAACATTTTTAATGGAAATCCTTAATTGAAGAGTAGGGAGCTAGCAGTGTGTGAGGCCTGAGGGCAAAGCAATGCACATGCTAATTTGAGTGCTCTAACCAAAGGGTCTGCTTGGCCAGGGGCCCAATCTGTTTATTACATTTCAAACTTATTTCTGAGTTGCAGGCTGGATAAGAGGGGACTTAGAAGGGGGAAAAAGGCCTCAAAACCACACTAATCCTCCCCAGGATGAAACTCTGCTGAGTTGAGATAAGAGACACTTTTAGGAGGACAAGATTACACTTCTCAAATACCCAGCCAGCAGTCAAACAGAGGATTCAGATTTGCTCAGAAAAGGATTTGCAGTAAACATCTTAGGCAATGCAGAAAAATGTCTTAATAGCCCTGAAACCAATGGCCACAGAAAAGCCAGCTGCTGGCTGAACAGGGCTGAAGGCCTCTGGGGACAGAGCGGACTCTGACCTGGTCACATCTTCAGGAGGAGCAGCTGTGTGCCCAGGTGAAAGCTGGACAGGCACAGGGTGTGTTTCTACAGCAGAAACAAAACAGGAAGCAACTCAACAGGCTTTCTTTTCACCATCTCAGCAAAAGAGCCAAATTCAGGAACTGACAAGCTCCTACAAGACAGTGGCAGACTCGGGAAACTGAAATTTCCCCCGGTTAGCTCTATGCCCTCAGAAGGACTATCAGAAGGAAGGGCTTTTGAACTGCAGCCGGTGCTGCCGTGAATCCTAAGAAAACCATTCTCAGGCTGTCACCATCTGTGTTGAACGCCACAATGCCTGCAGTTCAAAATGCAATCGACAAAATGGAAATGCAGCTTCAAAACATCAAGAAGCGCAGAGCTGTAGTGTGGGAGACAAACTCACAAGCATTCCCAGATCCCCAAAGCAGCCTTCACCATCCAATCCCAACAACTGCACACTGTTTAGGGGAGAACATGGCACGCACAGGGGCCTGCCCCTTTATCAGCTGTGGCCAGAAGGCAGGACAAGATTAAAGCTGCTCCACTTCTAACCTAGCTTTCTGCTAACGTGTCTGGGAAAACAGTGGAAGATGGATCAAGTGCTTGGGTTCCTCACCCAGCTCGGTTATCTGCAAGAAGCTCCTGGCTCCTGACTTCACTCTGGCCCAGCCCTTGGCCGCCGTACCCATTTCTGGTGTGAAGCAGCCAGCAGATGGAAGATCTTTCTCTTCCTCTGTGTAACACTCTTCCAAATTAAAAAATAATAAACAAATAAATAAATCAGAGAGCCAAAAAAAAAAAAAAAAAAAGAACCCAGCGTATTTGGATGCTCCTAATTCTGATTTCTTGGCTGGTCTAACAACATCTTTTCACCTTGATACGCAAGAGTGGCTCCAATTTGATGTGGCCTGGGCAGGACGCTGGTCTAAAACGATGACCTCTAGTAACTACTGGAGGGTAAGAAAAACAGCACATAAGCTAGGGAAAGGGGTTCCGAGCCGAAAAGGCCTGGACTGAGAGTCTGCCCAATTCACACCTGAGGACATTAACACCAGCTCGCAGAGTTAGGACGAAGAGGTGGTGCTTTGATAAGCACTTCCCCAGTCTCTCACTATAAAGCATAACCAAAATCAAACCGTTTTTAATGGAAAAAACTCAAGAGCCTAAACACGTACATAAATCTGATACACTTTTGCCAGTTTTCTTATCTGTAAGAAGGCTGAATCAGATTGTAACTGAAAAATATTTTTAACTTTTTTCTGCAATGGATTTGTTTTTTCACTTTTAGCTTTTTATGATACAGTTCCATAGGCTCAGGGGTTTTCCCTGCTCTCCTCCTACTTCCCCTTGCCCCACTGATTGCACCTATATTATTACAACAGTATAGTCCCTCATCAACAGTCACAAGGGTGCTATAAGTGTATTCTGACACTGCAGGTACAGCAGTGAGAGAGTTCAGATCTATGTAACAGTCTCACTGGGAGCAGAGATGCTTGATCCGGAAGCAGAGACGCAGACGGTGACGGATCTCGGAATGACAGTCTCCGCTCTGCAGCTCCTCTAGCTGAGCATCTGTACATGGCCTTGTGTTTTCAGGAAGGTTGCCTTATATCAGAGAGAACCTAACTAAAAGTTTCTAATCAATAATTAAAAAAAAAATACCGAAAGTGTCCTTTTGACTTCACATCTGTAATCCAAACTACTGCTTACCACCTTCCCATAAAGGGCTGTCCTAAATGTTTGCTTTTAGGAGCAAAGTTAACAATGTGTGGTAGCCTGGTGGCCAAAGTCCTCGCCTTGCGTGCACCGGAATCCCATATGGGCACTGATTTGTATCCCGGCTGTCCACTTCCCACCCAGCTCTCTGCTTGTGACCTGGAGAAGTAGTTGAGGATGGTGCAAGGTATTGGGACCCTGAACCCACATGGGAGACCAGAGAAAGCTCCTGGCTCCTGGCTTCAGATCACCTCAGCTGCAGCCATGGCAGCCACTTGGGGAGTGAACAAGCGGACACGGGAAATCTTACTGTCTCTTCTTCTCTCTGTACATCTGCCTTTCCAATAAAATAAAGATAAATATAAATAAAAATAATAAAATAATATGAATAAAATAATATAAATAAAATATAAATTAAATAATAAATAAAAATAAAATAAATACATCTTTTTAAAAAGTGCTTTATGAAGCTTGGCTGCCTCTAGGATCCCTGATCTGGATGGGGGTGGGGGCTTAAAGAAGGGAGAGAAACACACAACCCCAACATCCCAGGCTCCTTGAAGAGGAGCTCCATAAACAATAGCCACTGTAGACAATTACACACTGCAGCTTACAGATCCAGTTCCAAAGGTCCAAGATCATGTAACAGGAGTTGAGCAATTAACCCCAAATGAAGCTAAGTCATTATCATATGGTTTAACCAAAAAATTTCCAAAGAGCTGTGACCCTCTGTGACCCACACAAACTGTAATTTGAGGTTGGAAACAACCCCAGACATGTCTCAAGTGCATCAATGAAGCCACAAAGGCCCCCACAGTCTGTTGCTTCTGAAGGGCCAGGGCTGTAAAGGCTGACTGGGGTCTAGAACTAAGACTCCCAGGGTCCAGTCCTAGGTTGTCCACCCAAGACAAACTTGATCTTCCTTTTGTGTAGTAATAAACTGTTAACTGTCAGCAGAGTTTAAAATAACCTTCTAATAGAACTTCCCTTACCTGCTGCACTCCATGTTGGTACTTACAGCTACAATGTATCAGAGCCTTGGCCTAGGCTAACTCCAAGAAAAACAAACACTGGGTCTTGGGCTAGGTTCCCAGTAACACCATACTGCCCATTCCCAACGCCAAGCAGTCAGGGCAGAGCAGAGACCCTGGGCACCGGTCTAGCATTGGCATTACAGAAAGAAGCCTGGCACCGTCTCATCACTTGTAACCTCACCTTCTAGTCTCCCAGTCTCTGCCACCTGCCCCTTCTCCCCCATAGACCTCCAGTTTGTACTTATTTACATGGTATCCAAATTACTGGTCAAAGACCAAGGTCAGTACAATTGATCCATAGGATATATAAATGCTCAACACACTAAATTCAAAATAGTAACTGGCAGTTTGGTTTTCTTTGATGAGCTAACCCCCATTAGATGTTTATACAAACTGTTAGTAAAAGAAGCCATACATTATAGTAAGTTGCAATTTACCGTAATCCTTTTATTTCACACGGTGGGCTTTTTTTTTTTTTTTTTGACACTTAAAAAAAAAGAGCAAGTCTATTTCTGAAATTCTAATTCATTACTTCAAGGATTAATAGGTCTTTCCCTGACCCGGGCAACTTGAAATTCGTTTTCAAGACAAGCAGTTTACCAGATTCAGAATCTACTTCTGTAATGCTTTAAAAGCCAAAAATAAACGTAATGTCACAACATCCGATGGGGCC